GCCCCAGTGATCACAGCACCGAACTAAGTGCGGTGTTAATAAGAAATGCTTAAGTCTGTGTTGCACTTGGAAATCTCTATGCATACGTTGGTCTTCTTCTCAGGACCATGGATCAATGGAGCAACAATAATGTCCGCGCTCTGCTCGTGCGGCATTCTTTGGGAATTGCGAGGCGACCAGGGGCCTCAGCGCATCGGGCTGTCTTGACAACTTATTTTGCTGCTCAAAATTTGTATTCCCACACTGCGTCTCTGGTGGTGGAACTGCTATTGAGAAGTCCTTGCTAAGAAGTCTATGCTAAGTGATTGCATCAGTGCTTCACCATCCTACTAATATTGCCCGCAGCTCAAAGTCGTTTCGAAAACACCTTCCTTACCTGAATGACTCTTATCTAAAGACGGGTGGGAAAGATAAGACCTAGAGCGGGCGATCGGGTTGATAGCGACACTAGGCCAATCTTGGTCACTCTTAGTGCACTTTGTGAGCGTCATCATATCTTGAAATACGCCGTGGAAGATGTCTCGAGGAGTGTTTGTTGGCATAGGAAATTTAGATCTTAGGTATTGCTGGAAGCATGTCCTAGGTAAATCGAGTGCTATTGTGACTACTGCTCAGTTAAAATCACCCCTCGGAAATCCTTCAACGTTCACTTCGAGCCGAGAAGCACCAAGGAAAAGCCATGTTTACAAGATTGCTGTCACTGATCACCGTTTGCGTTTCTCCTAAGGTCCTTGAAGGCTTCCGTGTACTAAAATTGTCGAACTTTGTAAGCATTTCGTAATAAAGCTGTTTGAAAAGCGTCGCTTCGGGTTCGAAGGCACACCAAATAGACCCAAGCCGGGACAAGAAAAGCGGCATGAAATGAACCTCAGATCCTTCCCGCTAACGGCAATACGCTTCGGTGATTAGTGTATGAGGCTCTTTACCCGGACATGCAGGCCAAATGGCGTTTCGCGCCTGAAGACTAATAAACCTCAAGTATCCACATACGTTGTCGCATGAGACAGGTGATTCACAGCACAGCTAAGAATGACGGAACAATACTAACATCTCCAAATGGTATAGACCCAAAGATAGTTGCAAGCCTTGTATATCTGAGGCCCTCTCCCCAAGGGTTCGCTTGCACTCCGATTGGTCAATATTAGCCAGAAATCGTACGCTGGTATATTAAATATTCGACATACTGCACTTAGAAAGTGTTCAAATGGCCGTGTAATCTCACAATTGATCTCAAACTAAATTACTCATAACCTACGTCAGTAAAGATGCATGTAAAATTGTTATTTAGAATTACATATCTGTTGATATTCAGCATCTTCGAGGTTGCCAGCTCCTCATACCTGCTATCTGGAGAATGCCCCAGTCTTTTTCGAAGTCCATTGCAAATACAAACTAGATCAGCATGTCCAATCCCGATAGATGATAATATTGGAATTAGTGCAGCAGAATGGGGTCCATGGACTCATCGGCCGTACTGTATCCGTTCGACAAGAGATCCTAGAACTAAGTATTGTGTGTTTACAAACACTTTACACGGAGAAAATGGCCTGAGTGTTATCACAACTCCCGAAGCAGCAGCAATGAGCGCAGAAATGTTTGATGATCCTTACGGCCTGTCTTTCATCACCGCCGGATCTGTAGGAAACAGCAACGAGGATTCCCTGTTCGAAGTCACCGACATACCCGGCAAGGGAAAGGGTGTCATTGCCACTCAAGAGATACGAGCGTACGAAACGATCATGGTAGACCACGCTACTGTGCTAGCCGATGTAGGATTTCCCAGCTCTGTAATGAAATCCCAAGGACATGACTTGCTCCATGTTGCTGCAAGTCAACTTTTAGAACCCGGACGAGTGTTGAACTTGAGTCGAAGCAGCAGTTCTGGTGCAGATTATATTGAAGACGTACTCAGAACAAACTCATTTAACCAAAATCTAGCTGGAGGGCCTCATATGGCACTTTATCCAACGATTTCGGTAAGGGGCTTCTTCCGACGCACTTTCTCGAACAGCAAGTAAAGCTGATATAGTACTATCTAGAGGATTAATCATGCATGTCAACCAAAGTCCGTTCTTCTACTAAAGAAACTTCACCTAGAGGACCCGCTGAACTGACAGAGTATCAGTGCCTTCACACGATTTTTACCAGAAAGTCTGACGGTTACAATCGTAGCCTTTCGAGACATAGCAAAAGGAGAAGAAATCACTATCAGCTGTGAGTAATTCTATCATAAGCGCGGAAGCTTGCAAGCAAATATTGAATATAGACTCCATGATAGACATCCCGCTAGGTCAAACATTCGAAGAACGACAACATGCATTGAAAAGATGGGGCTTCACCTGCGCATGCGATCTTTGTGTGGCACCGTCCAAGAAGATCATCGAATCTGATTCCCACAGGAAGAGGGTGGAGAGACTGCGTGCAGACACCCTAGAAGCAGTGAAGAATGGGAGGATGCACACGGCAATTCGTATTTGTCATGAGATATTGGATCTTTTAAAGATAGAGGATCTCACGTCTCTGATGCCGGAACAGTATGAAATTTTGGCAAGGCTTTACTGGAAAATGAATGACAAGGGCAATGCCGAGAAGTTTGCCCGGGAAGCGCTTGATATTCTGGGACGGCATACCTTTCTTGATACACAGAACCAAGAGCAAGATTTGCGTCGACTACTACAGGTATTTGATGCATAATAAGTAAGAAATCTGTTCAAGGTGCTCAATATATTTCAAAAACAACGGTTGGCTGCAGTCTTCCAGCACAAGCTGGTTAACGGCTGCAGGGTTTTCCTCCGGACCAATTTTAGGCAGTCGAGCAGCTATGAAATGCGGAGATATTTAGTCGGCGAGGGAACATTGCGGCACTGCGACAACAGCCAGTCATTGGGCTGCCGTCTAAGTTCTTTTGCATGCTGTAGGGCCAGGCTGGTGATGGAATCACCTTGAAATTCGGACACAGGTCAGCGGTGCAAGCTAACCATCGGAAACCTACAGCCGACAGATCAGTCTCGCCGGCGAAATGCTCGGCTCTCTCTTGAGTTCGCCACTTTAGACATCCAAATACTACCGTGGATAGACCGAGAAAATCTGAAGAAGGCCAAATCTGCCATTTATGTGAGGAGGAATGACTCTAGGATATTGAAGGTTTAGAATGGGTAAGAAGTGACGGATGGACAGGGTTGAAACACTAGATTCCCCAATCCGCCAGGGTAATAAAATGTTAGTTCAGCATGTGTATCACTACCCCTTCAAGAAGGGGCTATTACCATCGTAGAGTTGATAAGCCCATAGTAATTAACGAAATGTTTGAGAGCTTAACGAGCATTTCGGGTCTCAATATTGAGTATCTTCTTCACCCTTCAACAATTGACGTTTATTACCCTGGCGGAGGAGTACTGTACTGTACCCCACCCTGACAGGCTTGAGAGCCGAAGGTATGTTGCCTCAGACGAGTTGAATAGGAGCATTCTAATGTGCCGAAGACTCTCATAAGTCTAAAGCGCAGTAGATGCGGCCAAATGTCGCCGGCCTTTATAAACGTACATACAGCGGTTCTCTCTTTTCTTCTTTACAGGCCATTATTGGGAGCTACAGAATCAAACACCGCTTAAGATCTTGTCATAACCTAGACCGGTAGCAATGCGGGGGACGTTTTTGGGTGGCTCGAGGCCCGGTCTAGATGTCAGCCCTGGTACAACCCCACCATTGTAAGGTCTTCATGCGACGATGTCGCTTCGTCAAATCTCCACCTGCAGTTGCCTGGCGTGTTGAGGCCATTTCTCATCCTCGTCCTGCTCTCCGAAATCCGGATCACCCACTTTAGCATCCGAAGATCACCTGGAAGAGTCCCTGCTTCATACATCTCTGCCATACTTGCTTGAGGAGAGCCGCGGCTTACGCTTTCCGCAGACCAACACAGCACTGAGTTCATATCTCTCCCGCGTCAGTCACTAGCCCAATCTCGGGGGCCCCAAGTTCTCCTGGCCATCGCGGAAGGACACCTCTAGTCTCCACTGCCGTGATCGACCCGAGACGGCACAGCTCATCCGACGCCTGCATGGAGTGGGCTAAACCTCCGAGGCAACATACAGGAGACTTTGCCTGACGTGTCCATTGGCCCTTGTCTGCAAAGTCGGCTTGCATAAGGGCTTTATAAGGGCGACGGCAGTGATTGCGCCAACCCAACCCATTGGGATGGACGTCACGGCATCTCCGGAAACGTCAGCCAGCGGGATCCCGGCTCCGAACACTCCACAACAACCCGGCGACGGCACCCAGCCAGATAAATCGGTGACATCCTCCGACACCGGTGGGCCGCCCGCAAAAAAGACTGGCAAACGGGAGCGCGTAGCTTTAGCCTGCCAAAGATGCAAGACTCGTAAGCAGAAGGTATGCATTGGGTATTCCTGGACTTGAACTCTGAAACCCGCCTCCTCAAAGCTAAAAGAAATACGTTTCGATTAGTGCGATGGGAATAGGCCGGCATGTGGCTCTTGCTCCCGATTATCTCTCAAATGCGGTCAGTCAATACCCATCACCTTTTGCAAAGGATGCCACTGTCTCGCAGTGGCCTCTCTAATAGTTGACTAGTCTACATCATCCCTCTTGTGCCGGCAGCTGGAGAGAAGAAGCTCTATATCAGAGCACTAGAGCAGCGTGTGGCTGAGCTTGAGTCCCAGCTTGCCACACTTGGTCAATTAAATGTCAGTGACGACCATCTCGGCATCGGGAGGGCACCAGGCCCTGTCCAGTCGATAGGACAGCGTGTTATCCGCCTGGAACACCCCGAGTCTGACGATGAAGCAAACGATATCCTCGTAGCTGTCCGAGATCTATCCCTATCGGCTTCTGGGAACTATGTTGGAGCTTCAAGCAACATCACCATCGGTAGGGTGTTAAGCTCGGTGGTGCGAAGCTCAAATATTCATCCTCATTCGGGAGTTGGCGATCCATTAGAACATGACGATCCAACACCAAAGTCAGCAACACGACTTACAGACATGGTTGGGGTACTGTTTCTCAGCCCTGCCGTCGCGCAGCGCCTGATGCAAGGGTGGTTCACTCACATCAACACAAGATATCCAGCCCTGTTGACTCCACGTCTTCTACGGCTCCACGTGGACCGGGATTGTCTCACTGATCCCTATGAGAAGAGCATCCTGCACCTGGTGTACGCTGTCAGCGGCCGGTGGCTAGAGTCTGCTGGAGTATTGGGACACTTCTTCAGTGATCAACACTACGAGGTTGCCTTTGACGAGATGGACGAAATATTGAAGTATCGTGACAGTCGAACCTTGGACTACCTCATTTTGATGGCACTTTATTGCATAAGAGCACCGCGGGACCCGGGCGCATGGACATACGTCGGCACCGCCATGCGCTTATGCGTCGAGCTTGGTTTGCACAGGAAGAAAAGGAGGCAAGCCCCGAATGTCGAATACGAGATGGACAAGCGACGTTTCTGGACCACGTATTTTCTAGACAGAGACATATCCATTGCCCTAGGTCGTCCGCCTAGCATCTCGGACCATGACATTGATGCAGAATTCCCTCTCGACATCGATGAGGCGAACGAGGACGACGAAGTTGTACGCCAAGCAGCCTACAGACCTCTCAACACGCCACGCAACCCGCCGGCAACATTGACTTCTTTCATCCATCGACTCCGATTGAAACAAATCGAGTCAGAAATACAGCATCTCGTATATAGAGTTGACCAAGCAGCCCAGCTACCAGACCACATGATCCAGCAGTTCCTCGATCGACTCAACGCCTGGAGGGATGCGATACCGTTCGAAGCGAGCACATTTGTTCACCAACCCGGTATACCCTACGAAGGTATGGAATTCTACACCATACACTACCACCGCTGCGTACGATTCTTGCTCTATCCGCAGTTGGCACACCAGCCGGTCAATACGCAATATGCCCGTCTGTGCGCAGATGCGTGTGCCGGCATCATTAGTGACTACAAGCGGCTACATCATGTCTTCCCTGTGGGCTTCTCCTCTTTATCTATTCAATCTGTGTTCTTAGCAGGTAAAAGTTCCAATGTTTGCCAATAAGAGGTCTCGACTAATCACATAAGGACTCACGTTGATCTATTGTGCTTGGCTCGCGCCCACCAGCTTCCTCAACGTAGAGAAGTCTCTCACCGATTGTCAAATCCTGCTATACATCATCACTGAACGCTACCCGTCGGCACGCAAGTACCGCGACATTTTCGAGCGGATCAAGACAAGCATACTAGAGTTGATTGCACGCGGTGAGCACCAACCGCGGAACCCTGTCGACCTCGATGCGGACATGCGCGCCAGAGTGACGAATCTCGGAGGGTCATTGGGCATGATGGGCGGTATGGGAGCCGAGTATTCGCATATGATGGGTGCAATGATTGGTCAGCCCGTGGGAATGGACGTCTGCTCTTTCGGCATGGATCAGACACCGGACGGCACAGGGCCGCCGGGGCCGCCGGGGCCGCCTGGGATCATGACGGGTGATATTCCGACAGCCACTCTAGGTACAGAATTTGGAAATATGTGGTCGAACATGGGCGGCGATGCTCCCGGGATGGGATTGGAACATGGCGGTGGTGGCATGTTCTGATTCCATCCTTGGTTTGCTGCTGTCTCGCGCTATGTGGACTACGGTCATCTCATGCGAAGACCCTGTGATGAACAAGGTTTTATTCACATCTATTCGCAAGCATGTGTCAACATGCTCGGGTTTGGGCATCTGCATTTTTTGAATTAATTCTCCTCGAAGCCTTTCCGAGGGGAAAAGGGGGGACATGTGGGCCTGTCAATATCGACGGTTAACGTCTTTGGTGACGTGGAGTCGATCACTGATGAAGTAGCTATGCCTGGAAAACTTCGAGAGATTTATGACGATAGAAGTTCTCCGCCATCCATCGTTCTGCCTCTCGAACTACCTGCCCTACCTTCCTCGTGCCATCGTCTCACGCATGCCTCGTGCGTCCTGATATCGGGCCATTCTGATGCGATGCCTACTCTGCATATCGGCTCACGATGGGCCTCACCGACTTCCTCACTCGTCCCAGCTTCACTAGTGTTTCTCTCTTTTACACAACCCTACCAAGGCTCCTGCCGCCGCGGCCGAGGGCGACGATGACGACGTCGGTTATTTGGAAGAAACGACAAGGAGTAAGATGGTGAAGCCGTCCGTATCAGCGAGGGCTTATCTGACCTAATACCGTAAGAAGAAGGAGGCAAAGCCGAACGTCGCTGTCAAGTCTCTTATGATTAGGGATGTCATGCCGCGGGACAATGAGACGGATATGAATGCGCCAGAGGAGTCTGTGGGCGCGATCAAGATATACGATCTAGTCTGGAGCGCGTCCGAATTTGTCGCTGTTGGCTTTGGTAACAAGAAGATACGGATCAATTTTGTCAATGAGAATTAAAAGATCTTGCTAGGCGTCCTCGAGGAAGAGATGCAAGTATTTGGAGACTATGTCAAGTCCACCCGACGTTGCTGCTATTCAGAAGCTATGAGCTTTTGGTCTGATTTTGAGTTACGGCCTACCTATTCATGTACGATAATGAGGGTAGAATCAGGATCCTGTATCGAAGCTCAACGGGCGTGGCTAGGCAAATTGCAAGCAAGGCCTGGTGTAATCACGGATTCTCGGGATTAGTGATGCTATAGGAAAAGAAAAGAATTGTCATTTGACGACATTTTCGATTACAATTTCCATTACTTAGTGCTTGCAATATGTGCGCTTTTGTTGAATATACTCATCTTGTTGTGAAATTAGGGTTTAGGGTAGCTCTACAAAGCTTGTAGATTCAGGCTTCATATATGTTGCAACTTATATCATGTACAGTGTCAAGGCATTCCTTCCGTTATTAGAAGCTTAACGCGTGGCCCAAATAATCGAGGATGCATTGAGGACATCAATTCAAATTCTCACTGATTGAGGGTATGATTTCTTGTCGTAATGCTATAGACCATTCGGATTATTTGTAGCTCTAGGTCGAATTTACCCGACTTGCTAACAAACTAGGTACTGTTGAGATAGCTCCGCTCAAATGATCTAGTTTCGTTTCTCGTGTAATTTGAGACTCGTCATATCTAACATGAAAACGAACACTAAAGTAGATTTATGACACACATTCCGCCAATTGTTCTCTTCAAGTATTCCGGTCGTGGCTCAGCTATACGAGCATTCTTGTCGTCAGATGACTCCCAGATAGGCAGAATCTGCCTCGGCGCTACCCCATCCCCTCCCTCAAAATTTAGTCAACTTCGACCGAACCTATTCTTATAGTCAGTCACTGAGAATTCCAAGTCTTTTAAATCATACCGAAATCACCCAGCCAAGCCGCTCATACCACCATTTTTGAAAAGGTTCGTCCCGTCCCCACCCACATGGAGCCGACACAGCCTTTTGATTGCGGTGGTTGCGCGGGCTGCAGCCTTTCAATAGTTTCAATGCAGATGCGACGTTGGGGCTGCTCTTGAGTCGCCCGGCAGCCCAACAACGGCTGTCAGATGCAAAACCTCATAGGCAGATGCAGGCAGATGCAGGCACGGCTGAGAGCGCGGAGGCGCGTCAGAACGCCCAATAGGGCTTGCTGAAAGTGCCTGCATGAGCGCATCAGGATTTCCAACGACTGGCGGCCCGATGCCGGTCAGCTGGATCTCGCAGCCAACACATAACGCGGGCATCAAATGGCGGATGCCTCGCAAACGCCATTGCGGGAGCACATTGATCACCTGCTCGGGAGAGGCCGTTGCGGATCTGTTTCCCCTTTCGGACTTTTGGGGGAAAGACTTGACTTTAGTTGTTGGCGTCTCGACGTGCAGTTGGGGGCCTCGAAAGGAGCTGACTTACGCTCCAACCTCGAATGGAATCGAGTCTCTCAGCCGTAGTGGCGATGATTCACACCATTTGCTCACATGGCTGTTGGGAAGTCCTTTTAGCTCAGCCAAGGACACGAAAAGCAACATGAGAGGGCTGCAATGGTTGCCTGTGGGTTACGTCGGAGGGCAAACACGGCCGACTACATTTCCGGGAGAGGAAAGTTTGCTCCGATGAAGGCAGCTGAGACAAGAAGTATGCCTCGAACGGTGGAATAAGTCGGAAGAAAGATTGTAGAGGAGAGTCATCTTAAGAAGTAGAAAAGGGCCATGTTGTCCTTAACTCTGGAGATTAATTTGCTAATAATCACCACTGTCCTGCCGAAAGCATTAAGTCAGCGTTATATTCTCATAATGAAAATTTTATCTATCTTTTGTGTTACTTCATTTCTCGTGCTGGGGAGCCTAGCAGCAGATTTCACTTACACAGTGACTGCAATTAAAGATGGCAAGCCCGTACCCCCATCCGATATTATCCTCACACCCAAACCGCCCGGGTCACACATCTTGTCCAACTTGAGTGCCTCTGATATCACAGTCAAGGGCAAGAGAGCCAACCCAGTGAGCTATTCTGGCAATTGGTGTGGAGCATCTACCCATAGCACATCATCCCAGCCGATCACAAGTGTGTTTGGATATTTCACTGCACCGGTGGCGCATATCAGACCCAGCCAGGGAACACCTCAATGGATTGGTAGGTCTGCTGTAGCCCTTCGCTGAGCAGCTAGTGTGCTAATCTTCAAACAAATAGGAGCATGGATTGGTATCGATGGAGCATCATGCAGCAGTACTGTCCTTCAGGCTGGCATCTCAGCCAAGGTGCGTCTTCGTTTTGTCTATTTATCTATATCATGCGTGTCCTGTCGTACCATGCATCCTCTTTATGACGACTGACTTGACATAGATTGATTCCAGTGGCGTTCAAACCACGAGTGCTTGGTTTGAATGGGTTCCCAACGCTGCCGTAACTTTGACAAGCTTCCCTGGTACGCAAGAGATTACCAGTTTTGGCTGAAATCATGTAATAATCATGTGAATAGTCAACCCCGGAGACTTCATTTCACTCAATGTCTCTGCTTCTTCAACTACAAGTGGGCGGATGTGAGTGTTGCCCCACAGATTTCTCTATACTTTCAGACTGATATGGCCACAGCGATATCGCCAACTTGGACCAAGCATACTCAACAACCATTACATTAAGCAATGGTCCCACTCTTTGCCGCGTGGACGCAGAATGGATAGTCGAGCGTCCAAACTCCAACATCGGCCTCCTACCCTTTGCCAGGTTTGATGACATTTGGTTCCAGAGTACCGTCGCCAAGCGAAGTGGTGGTACTGACCTTGGAATCGACAGCGCGGCTATGGTCTACCTTGGCTCCACTGCAAGTAATGCCCTGTGCCTTGCAGCCGAGTACGACAATGCGGACTTTTACACCTGGTCTCAAAACTAAAGCTTTGTTGAGGCAAATACTTGGCTGTTTTAGGGGGTACACGGCTGCTTTACAACGCAACGCACATGCAGATGTTGTCTTAGTCACACATTGTCACTCATTACAATGATACCATATAACTACAGTGTGCGTGGAAAGTTTTGCTATAATTTATTCCACGATTTCGTCATATAGTCTCGCCGTACTAGTACGGAGGTGCAAAGGAACCGCATCCATAATCTTAAGTTTAGAAGTACAGAGACAGCTCTCTTGCTCTCATCTATTAATTGAATACCCTTGTCTCTTTTTCACGTTGTTCAGTGTAAATGACTGGCGGGGCCATATAATATCGTTGGAGGTGGTGGATCACGAGGCACGTGTTAATTTGTTCTGATGAGAAAGCAGACGACCAGTCAAAAGCTCTCAATGTAGTTGTGCAGATTGTACTGACCTATATGATAACAAAATCAGTTATGTTGCAATAGATCCCTTGGTAAACACAGGGGTGGCAGGGAGCTCGCTGCGAACCCACTCCTAGTCACCTGACAGCTGCCCGGTCCTTCCCAATTGGGAACGAGTGAGGCTGTTATCACACCTGCCGTCAACTGGACACCTACATCCATTTCAAACACAATCACTTGTACTTTCCTTTTCTTTTTTTTTTTTTTTTTTGGGCGCTTTCGGACCTCTTGAGAGAACCCTCCCTCAGGCACTTCACTGAGGGGTTGAAGTCTTAGTTTAGCAGCACTGTGAACGTGGCGTAGACGTATCGGTATAGCTGTGTACCTATAGATATTAAAAGGGTTTTAGTCCAGCTCTCAGGGATTGTTTTACTGATGAGATTGATATTAGGTAGAGGCTTCGAGAGCTACAGGGTTACTAGTATATTAATAACAGCAATGCCTTGGTAAGTTAGTGAGTCATTACAAGCCTATCTTTTGCCATCTGATACTCCTGGGCCGTTTGGTCCTGGGAGTAGATTTCTGCTGTGATCTAGCAACGGTCAGATTTTCCGTAACATAAGAGACCCCTAGCTTGGAGGGTAGGTAAGGGTCTATCCATACAGCAGGTGCTCTTTCAGCAATTTGCTGATGGGCGCCTGGCTGATTGACTTCGTCTGAGGCAGTCTTATTGTACGCCTGAGGCGAACAGGCTAATGTGTCGATCGTGATCTTGGAATCGAATTTGAGGATGTTGAAGAAACTTATCGCAGATCGTCCGGACCCTTGGTCTATATGTGTTCAGGAAGAGGGGGAGCCGAATATTTAAGTCTGCATTAGAGTCAGAGGCGTGGTGATTCCAATCTACGTGGTCACATATTAGTGTGGTAGTTGACTTTACCGGAACCAGGTTTGAATGCGTGCCACTCCCAAATGACGGATTTCGAGGAACCGTCAAGTGCTAGATGCAGTGATAGTTAGGGTAGTTGAGCACGACCTGTCGTGTAGTGAGCCAACGCTTTAGGCGATCGCAAATTCCTCGACACACCATATGTTCTCGCACTATCCTACACAACTTAGGAACTTGAAGGATCACATTCAATTATAACCATCCATTTCACAACAACCTGTTTTGGTCTGTTGAGTTGACTTTTGAAGCATAAAGAAGAGTAAATGAAGATTGTCATTAGACATGATTGTATGTAATTCTTGATATTTCAATTTTTATGTCATTGATTAAGCTGTACAATTCTCAGGCACCAAGGACGAAGTGGTATCTTTTTCCCACAGCGTATTAGGAAGTTGGTATACAGCAGAAAACAGCGTCATTACACGCGCAGCTCAGATGGCTTCTCTTCCACGTGGGCAGCTGTGGCAGCTCGCGCCTCATCAGTCTTCGCCTCAAAGGCAACATCCTGTTCCTCGGCATCCATGTTGCCATATCGTCCAATCTTATACCAAGGCAGTTCGAAAAGTCTATCCATACTCTCAAGTGACCGACCAGATGTCTCAGGAATGGTAAACCACACCCAGAAGCCGCCCAAGATAGTGACTGCTGCAAAGCACCAGAAAGTACCCTTGGGCGAAATGCCACCGTCCGAGACCGGTAACAACATGTTTGGTACAGCTCGTGAGTTTCCATACTGGTTGGCAAAGTGGAACATCATAGCAAGTGAAGTCGAGATGGCTCGAATTCTGAGCGGGAATAATTCAGCTGTCAGAAGATACTGCATGCTGTTCCAGCCCAGTGCCCAACCGAAGCCAGAAAGGTAGATCATGAAAACAGCACCCTTAGACGGGCCAGTCTCGGACTTGTCTAGCGAGTAGTCATCCACAACCCCTAGTTCAGGTACAGCTGTCAAGAAACCTGCAATGTAGATCATCGCGATAGCTTGGAGGGTGATGCCAATCAGCAGAGAGCGCTTACGCCCAATAACATCGACAAGGAATAGCGCACAGAGAACTGCTGCGCACAATTTAACGATGCCAAAAACGGCGGTAACCAGCAAGCTCTCGTTTGTTCCTGTGATGCCTAATAGGTCGAATAAGTCAGGCGCATACAGAGTGATTGAACCAGCACCACTCCATTGACTCATAATCTGGGCTCCGATAGCGAGGTATAGGCGGTAGAGGTTCTTGGGGATGAGGAACATCTCCTTGATAACACCAAACCAGCTGGCACCCTTGGTAGCCTCGAGCTCTTCTTGATTCTGCCAGTGGATAGCCGTAATCTCTCGTGTGACATACTCGTGGTCCTCTGGAAGTTTGCGAAGATGAGCCATGACCTTCAAGGCTTTGTCGTGTTTCCCTTGTTTAATCAGGAAGCGGGGAGACTCGTATTGGAAGAAGGTGAGACAGAAGATAATACCAGCGAACATGATGTGGAGGGATGTCGGAACCATCCATCGCTTATGAGAGGTATCACCCAAGTTCACCTGACATCCATAGTTAGTGAAGTATGCCAGGACAATACCGAGGTAGACAAATCCGGTGAAGATACATGTGCAAAGACCACGAATGGATGCTGGCGCGATTTCGGCGATGTAAATAGGCTATTTCCATGTTAGCAACAGAATTCCCCTTATTGTTTCCCGCTCTGTGTATATACGTACTCCGACGACAGGTGTCTGACCAACGCCGAGACCCGCGATGAAACGGCCTGCATAGACCGCGCCGAGGTTGCCGTTGGCACCGAGGAAGATGGAAATGCCGACAATCCAGATGATACAAAGGCAACGAGTAGCCCAGATACGACCAATTCGATCACAAACCAGGAAAGCGCTAAAGGTCATATTAGCATGCTACAGTGGCAGGCATGTAAGAGAGACGTAGTGCGGGGAAGCCTTACAAGAGAGCACCGCCAACAGAGCCGATCTGCACCATGGCACTGACGTTGGCCTTGATGTTGGCCTGTTCAACCTTGGTGTAGGAACCATAGTGGATGGTGTTCTGGAAGTCCTTGCTATTGAAAGCTCCAGAAATTAAACCCTCATCCACACCTCGGGCAGCGCCCAGGAGGCCGAACGAGAAGACGGCGAACCATAGCTTCCAGTTAAAGACTTCCTTGGGTTCACCCAAGTTCTTCAGACGGAAGATGTTGACAGGTTTCTTGACTCCGCCCGCCATATTGCTTGCTATGAATCCCTAGAACTTGATAGGTGCTTACAATAGCAGAGACAGAAGCAAGAAACTGAGATTTCTAGCACTTGTGTTCCAATGCTTAATTGTGGGAGAAGATCTCTTATACGTGCCGCCGGGGAGCCCCCTTCCCTCCTCTCGACTCGTGCAAGCTAAGGAAGTGATAGGATCCTTACGGTGGTCTTAGTGCATCGGAAGGCAGCGAGGGCGGGGAAATCATCGCTCTTCTGACTAAGGGTGGTATTTCATTCGTGCTCGTCCCCACGAGAATGCAAGGATGACGGCGGGCTGGGGCTAGGAGATGGTGGAACAGAACGTGGAGACGACCGCGGGGACTCCGACTGTGCATGCCAGGCTCTTCACGCTGTGTGACACTGTGGCCCATGCTGGATGCAAGAAAGACTTGCGATCTTCAATTCGGGGTGAAGGGGGTGTGTGGCACACTCCACCGAATCGCCGGACTCTGGAAACTAACAGCGATGACGTTGGCCCAGATAGACTGCAGCTGGTCGGGTAAAATAGGCGGTGGCTCTCAGATTGCTCACAAGACACTTCTTTTCCAGCGAGGGGTTTCTGCTAGCGGACGAATATGCTTCGGGGGCCAGTCTTGGCGGCGGTGATCGCAGGGGTTCCAGGCGAAAGCATCGATAGTCATCTCCGTCGTTATTGCGGGAGATCCGGGGGAGACCCGGGGAAGAATTCGGAGCAGATTCTTCACTTAGCCAAGGTAATGAAGCTGAATGTTGCATTCTCCGACGTTTTCTTGTCTGATGGCTTTGCCCAAGAACCACAAGCTTCACCAAGGCGACGGGTAACTGCTTGGCCGCTTGCAGTGGCGCGATGCGCCTTGAAGAGCCGGATCTAACCTATGAGCTACCATTGGCGTCCTCGGCACATCTTGGCCTGCGGGTGTGGCACAATGCCAATCAATTCAAGGCACACCTTCAGCTTCCTACGTGATCAGTCAACGTTTCTGAGTAGCTCGCGATATTTTTGAAGACGTCCGTATCCGTTCCTCATCGATGCGCCGCAATGCAGTCCACCGCAACGACCATCCATCAGTTCTCCAAATCTGATTACGATTCAGTGGCCCGGTTGACTTCTGTGTATGAGGGGAATGACCCCGTACAGTGCCGTGGGGGTAGGTGGGGAGGAGCGCATTTCCCCGACTTCTGGAGCGAGTCAGGCTTCGGGTTACCTGTTTGGGGGACTTTGGGGTCACAGTCGCCCTCTTATGTCGAAGCCTGAGCCCGGGCATTTTGACCATATTCGGAGATGGGCCTAGCAGATGGTTATGGGGCGCTTCGAGGCCATCACTGGGTCCAGACAAGCAAGACTTGCACGGCTCCAACTTTTCTCCATTTTCGCCCACTTCCCTCCAGACTTGTAAACGCGCGCGGCCACTGGTGAAGGCCTCGAGAGAGCTACTGCGGTTACTGCGTAGTAGCCGCTTGGCATAAGCGTGTACCAACGGAAATCTCCACAAAAGGGCGCCACACAATCGGTCCTTTTAGAATGCTGGCATGGATGGCACACCCAGAACAAGATGACCGGATTAAGAGCCCGGCAGATGCTCGCTCTCGTTCAGAGCGTCCGCTGGCCAAGCTCCACGTACCAGTAGGAGGTAGTATTGGTGTCTGTAAATCCAGCAGGCCAGGTCACCATGCTCATGACAGAGAAAGAGTAGCTAGAGGTGTACAAATTGCGTTCCTAGAGCTACAGAAGAGCTTGAGTGACTCAACGGTAGTCAACCGGCAATGTCGATGACAGAATTGATGAACTTGAGCATACAGAAAATAACACATCCTGAAAGGAATGAATGCGCTGTTTGTTGATCCAATGGGAGGTCATCAGTTTTAAATTTAACAACAACCCGGCATCGGCCAGTGGTGCCGCATAAGCTACCCCCGCCGTCCGCCTCCGAGGCGTATTCCGAGCGGAAATGCATGTCGCCCGAAACATGAGCGGCTTGATCCCGGAGGTCTTCCTGTTTTCTTCTGTGTCATCTTCTACACATCGGAGTTTCACTCGGCGAATGCCAACAGCTATCCGCTTCGGCACCGGAACCTCCAAGTTAGTCGATGCTCTCGGTGTCTGTCGCCAGACAAGTGATCGTAAGGAATTGTACATATCGGGATCTTTAAAGGCTAGTCTCCAGCTCGATTCTAGCGACTCCTGTTTACCGTATACTGAGTTAAGGGAGCACAGTCTTACCCCAGCCAGCAGTCAGGTGACTTATTTGCTATTACTTACTTCATTTTCATTCACTTCACTTAGTTATTACTACTCCTAATACAAGAATGGCTACCCCTTCAAACTAGTACATGCTCATGCCCTGGAGGCTTCTTCATGCGTATGTGAAATGTGATATCTTGAGAGAGGTGTTTGTCAGCAGTAGATACTGCTGCCCTGTTCCAATACTCGGCGGCAGATGCCTGATTATTATATAAACTAATGTGTTCAACATTTCATAATTTTTTGGATGCATAATGGCAGGTCATCCGGACAAATCTGCATACGAGTGTTCACTCGACCACGCCTTTTGAAAGAATTGAAAGGCGCCATTTTGAAGCCCGGGACTCCAGGTAGGATGGGACAAATCTTATGCAAGGCCCCGGGAAGCACCCTCTTACGTACCAGTAACGCATGTGCTCATTGAAAGTCTCCGAGACGAGCCGGGAGGGTGATGATTGGCAAGGTAGCCCTGTACGGGGCTGAATGGCCTCATAGGTGCTGGAGTCTGAAAATTATTACAGTAAGCGCCAAGATTAAGACCTTTGTATGGCGCGTGGTCTAATAATATAAACCAGGCTACAATTTTGAACTTTCAGCAAAAGGGCGACGGCGCGTAATTGTTCGAGCTATGAGCGCATGGTCTACTATTTAAATGTTGTTGGGTGTGAGGATGCCTTCAATGTTCGTGCATGGAGACCACTTGTGTTTTAATTAGCACTTGACCTAGAAATATCCGTAACATGATTCATGGTTAAGAAAGCTCATGTCGTAAGGGTATCCCCTAACTGCCGAAGAGCGCCACAGTATAGTAAGGCTGGCTGGCACAAAAGATTGATCCGCATAAACATCACGTATAATAAATTTCATATGGAGGCGACTTTAGCATGTGGTGGAGATTATCCGAGAAGACGGCCAGGCATCCAAATCTCACCTTGCACATTTCAAACTCGTCCAGGTCACCGGGCTGGGACACGATCCTCATGGAGTGACTACGTGGTCGCTCCATCATACAGATACATGGGGTTTCACTCCTTTCCCCATGACACCTATCATCCCTTATTCTCATTTTCACCGTCCTTGATGTTTTCTGGTTCCAATCAGTAGTGGCATAGATGTGTCTAATCTATGTTCGAGTAATCAACTGCGGCATGTTCAAGGGCGTGTATCTTATATCATCTTTATAGGGGATCCCCTAGCTATACGCAAATAATGTGAATATTGATAGTCCTTATCAAAGTGTAGTTATAGAGGTGGGAACAGGGTAGGCCGCTATAGATCTAGTCTAACGCTGGCAACGGTTGTTCTAGTAATTGCGGCCACAACCTCGTCCGTCTCATAGCCGAAAATAATGAGCTTCTGTTTCTTCTACCAAAACGTTTGCGTGAAACATGTGTGAGTTACCCCTTGCAGTTATACTATGCTACGCTTTCTCTGTTGTTATTTCGGTTCAGTTTAATGAACATCGAGCCAAGCAAACCTGAAGGATGAGGCTATGAATCTCGGAAGTTTTCCTGAATGTCAGCTTCCACTGACCCCAACCATCTTGTTTTCTGGCATATGCGTAATGTCGCTAAGCCTGGAGACAACTCCAATCGTGCTGAAAGGAGCCCCCCTGAGCAATGAGTGCGAGGGAGTCCGATGGCGCAGTGCCCTTCCTTTACCTGCAGCTGGCCTGCTCAAAGCTCTGTATTGGATGAGGCTAAATGAGTCAACCAATCAGGTTCGCGATGTAAGCACTCACTACAAGGATCATTAGAACCAGCACGATCCTGTGGTGCGGCTTTAACCTTATATCAGTCAGCCTCCAGTGCGATCATTAGGCAGTAATTTCAGTTTCCGAGTTTCTACAGGTACAACAGTCATGTTGATAACTTATAACGATCCCCGTTGTCAGACCTTTCAGGATGTGAACCTGACGACCGGTTCTCTGCGTTCATCTGTATAACATCGCGGTCACTGTTTTTATTTTCCTTAAGACATTCTTTCAAACTTGGGAACATATTTCTGTCCTTGCAATCATGCTGGTGAGATACCATCCGGAAAAGACTTGTCGGTGTCCTAGTGACTATGTACTGAGGAGCTTATTACGCAGGTAACTATTCACAAGGTCGCCACCGCACTCCTCTTCGCCTGGGCTGCCTCAGCAGCGCCGACAGGTGGCTCCTGTCCGGCGACGCGGCCAAGACCAGCCGCCTGTGCAGCCCAGCTTGATGCCAATGAGAATGTCAATTGCATTGCCAAAGTGAATGGCAATGAACTGGAGGTCAAAGTTGTCGGCCCAGAGAACGGCCCAGCTATCGTGGTCATGCCTTCAACCTTTGGCCACGGCTACTGGTATATGTTCAAGGCTCTGGAGTCGTTGTTCGCTCAGTACCGCTTTATCTTTTACGATGCCCGCGGATCCGGCCCTTTCTCTTCGAAGCCCGAGAATCCGATTGAAACCATGGCGACAGCGGCTATGGCTGAGGACGTCGAAGGCATCCGTACTCTGTTTGGACTGGACCGGGTCAACATCTTCAGTCACTGCCAGGGCGCGACCTCTGCGCTCATCTATGCCGAGAAGTACGCCGACAAGGTGGCCAATCTATACCTTGCCGAGACCATTCTCCCCGACGGTGTCAGTCCTGAAGATATCACGGCCTACCAGGGCAAGGTTGTCGGTGATCTATCCGAGCATAACCCCACCGTTAACTATACCGACTCGCTCGCTCTGCTTCCAGTCATCGTCAACCCTGATGACCCGGGCTTCCCCAAGGACAATGCCATGGCCTGGGCAGCTATCAAGACGACGTCCAAGCTATACTTCTGGAACGCTGAGCGTCACCAGCTCTTTGTCGACCAGATGGAAGACCCAAACGCGCCGCCGTTCAGCCAGTTTGCCATGGAGTGGAACACACGGGCCGATATTGCCGAACCTCCCCAGGTTGCTCCCCTTTTGGCCCAGATCAAGGCCCAAGTATTCCTCTTGCACGGCGACGAGGACGGCGCGTCCCCTAAGCCTTATTTTGACTTGCTCGTTGACACCTTGAATCTCACCGAGGCGAGCGCTGTACTGGCGCACCAGGCTGGGCACATTATCTGGGACGACGCAAATGACGTGTTCACTAAGACCGTCACTGGTTGGTTTGATAAGCTGTATGCTGAAAATGGGGAAAACGATGAGTGATCGAAGTAAATCTCCATAACTTCTATCATCATGAGGTCTGAAGAAGTCTTGATAAACCAGGGATATATACGTAGGCTCAATTCATTTTTAGTCTGCACGTGTTGGTAATCTTGCCCGTTGCACAATTTGAGTAGCACACACGGTAAATTACATCTCAACACATCCATCTCTTTCAACTTAATGCTCGTCCCAGACTTTTCAAAGGAATCCTAGGGATTTAAACTGCCTCTCGATGCGCCACATTTCCCGCATCATGGGCCGGCTTTTCGTCAGCAAGACCATCACCCATCTTCCTATGCTTGGCTTCCTCAACCCTATCTTGAAATGTCCCGCCAAAGCTCTTGCTCCGCCACGCAGGCACGTTATCCTCGAAGAGAAGATCGATCTCCTCCAGACTCTTTTTCGCTGTCTCGGGGTAGAGGAAGAAGACATGAACCGTCATCGCCGCGCAGAAAGTGCCAAAAATCATGTATGTCTTCCATTGGATGTTGGTAAACGCAGGTGGTACGAAGAAGGCAAGGGCAAGATTGAAACTGCGCATCATTAGTTACTGTCCTGAACCTAGGAACTTGGCATTACTGACATCCAATTGCCTGCGGCTGACAATCCCACTCCCTTAGCTCGGTACTTCAGCGGGAAAACCTCGGACGCGTAGATCCAAGCAGCTGGGGCCTTGAGAATGTGTGTTAGTGGCAAAGGCATAAAACAAAACTCGCTGAAAATGCTCACCCAAGTAAGTCCGTAAACTCCAACGAATATATACGCGATGGCAATCACGCCTTTGGCCGGCGCCCCCGAAATCTCCCACTTGAGAATATCATTTCCTGTAATATTATCAGACCTAGCACATGCCATTATTTGTCGCAAAACTGACCGTCTACACTGTCCACGTGGTGGCCGTATGAAGCCATCAGAGCTCCAGAGATGAAGTGGAGGATGCAGCATATTATTGCTCCAGAAATCAGGAGGTAACGGCGACCAAGTCGATCGATTATAGGCAGAATGCCACCCGTCGTCACCACGAAAATCACGTACTGTATGATGGCAGAAGTTAAGGCGGTATTGCCTCCCTGTTAGATCTTAGAGTTGAACTGAGGTGCGAATGTGACGTGGTACGTACAAGTCCAGCCATGTTGAAGATGTAGACCAGATAGTAAAGCATAACGTTACCTCCCAGGAGTTGCTGCCTGCAGAGCAAATTAATAGGCTGATGATTTCGTGTGCCACAAGGAGTGACTGACCATATCTGAACAGATACACCACAAAGTGTTCGCTTCCACATCTTAGGCCCAAATAAACCTAGTACTCCAACGTGCTTTGACTCAGCCGCAATGCGAGCTGCTTCCTTGACTTCTTCAAGCTCGGCCAGGACTACTGGACTCTCACGATCGCCATTGGCGTGAAGGTGGGCGAGAGTGTCCAGACATTCCTCCCATCGATCCTTCGACGCAAGCCATCGAGGAGACTCTGGGAAGAAGAATAGCGCCCCAAGAAGAACAAATCCGGGCACGCCCTGGAGTCCCCATGCGATACGGAAAGCCGAGGGACCTTTCACACCAACGGAACAGCCGTAAGAGATTAGGTACATGATCAAGATGCCCCATTCGATAGCCCATTGCTGAATTCCAACGACACGACCGCGGATCCTAGATGGGGCGAGCTCGGCGAGGAACACGCAAACTTGCGAGGATGTGATACCAACTACGTATATCGAATTAGTAATTGAACGAGACATTTCAGATAGCTTTACCCACTTGCTAGACCGCTGACGATACGTCCCACGATGAGGTGGCCCACATTCTGGGCACTGCACTGGAGGACGGCGCCAATGATCCAAATGACGGACGCAATCATCAAAGCTCCCCGACGTCCCCATATATCAGAGGCGAAGCCAGCACCCAGGGCACCCACAAAGCTGCCAGCGGACATCGACGCAGTAATCTACCTGTTATCAGCATCGAGCAATCGGTATTCTTCATGGGGCTTCGTACGCCACCCTGTTCAGTGCTCCCTGGAGAGCCGAAATAGTCGAGATAGGCATCAGTTCCAATCCAAGCGGACATCGAGGATATGTCGAAGCCAAATAGTGCGCCGCCAATGGTGCCAAAGGCGGCCAGAACTTGGACAAGTCAGTAACTTAAGTGAGTGAACCTTACGGGGGGGTTGACACACCGTAAATGTTCCAAATCCTGTACATGATGGCCAATGTGCTGTTCAAGGAGCAAAAGCCGTTCTACGCATAGCAACTGACTTCATGTCTATTGCCACTAGATCAAGGGGTATTCAACTAGATATAGGCCGCACGCAGGGAGGAAGGTCCCGCTCCCTGGTTGTTAAGTGCTTGAGACCCCTATTGCTTCCATATCCGACTAGCCGATAGCCGCGCAACTCAGCGACGATTTCGGTATCCGGCGCAAATAACGGCTTCGATCCGCATCAAGTTTACGGGCATTGCTCCGGCGTGAATTGCCTTCACGTGAACGAAGCCCCATCGAGTGCTGCGGAGATGAAGCGACGGAGACGTCATCCTCGGGGATCAACACATCGTGGGGCCTGCGATTCGCATGCTAAGCTTTGAGGCACTGAGGCGACGGCCTCCTACAGGTGCGCTTTTAAACTAGCCCCTGTCCAGCCAACTGCCGTATCGTCATCGATCCCCACTGCCGGCTGCCGAACACGACGACCCCAAGCAAATAGATCCACCTCCACGGGGGATACTTCGGCGGCCATGATAGCGCCAATTTTACACATGGGACCTTGGGAGCAAACTAAAGCTAATCATAAAGCGCAAGGGCATCGCGATTAAGGATGCCAAGAAAAGTGCAAATATTCTGCAAGACAAATACGAGCCGACGTCTGCAAGTGCATGCTCTTATCTTTAACCACAGAGCAAGATCTCATCTAAAGTGGGCTTCATTCTCACACGCATTTATGCGATCCAGCTAGCAGCCAGGTCCTATGTCACGCCTTGAACCGCACCTATCTAGGTTCTCTTAAATTAGCCTAATCTTTTTGTTTTCTTTTTCTTTTTCTTTTTTTTTTCCTCGAGTCTTATATATTTCGTAGTCGCCACTTTCTAAGAATACCAAGTCACTCAGAAACACGTCCCTGTGAGCGTAATACACATGCATGCATATTAAATTACTTCAAACTAAGCACCCCTATCTATCAAGTGCTTGCGACAAACACTATGTCCTAGGCGTTAGTGATTTTCCAATTTGAACTTGTAGGGGGAAAGCTTACCATTTCATAATAAACACCCTTTTTCCTAAGCAACGATGCATGATCTCCTTTTTCGAGTACCCGGCCATCACCGAGGACGAAGATTACATCGGCGTTCTGAACCGTTGCCAGACGGTGTGCGACAACAATCATTGTCCTGGTCTTTTTCGTCCGCTCAAACACCTCTTGCACCGCTTTCTCGGTCTCCGAATCTAAATTAGATGTTGCTTCATCTAGCAAAAGGAGTCGCGGGTTTCTGATCAGGGCTCTAGCGATGGCCAGGCGTTGCTTTTGGCCCCCTGAGAGCGCAACACCTTTAATGCCTACTTGCGTATTATATCCTTCTGGAAGCGAGGCAATAAACTCGTGGATCTCTGCATCTCGGCAAGCTTGATGCAACTCCTCGTCCGTTACTGAATCGTCTTCCACCCCAAGAAGGATGTTTTCTCGGAGTGTTCCATGAAACAATGATGGCTCTTGGGCCACAAGGGAGATGTCTTTCCGATAATTCTCCAGACTTAGGTTTGATATCTCAAGACCGTTATACAAAATCCGCCCGGCCTTGACTGAATAGAATCTAACCAATGTTAGTCATCAATATCGGCCTCGAAAGGAATAGCTTCACAACGAACCTTTCCAGCAACGAGATTACGGTGGTCTTTCCCGACCCTACCGCATGAGTTAGAATGTGCCACATTTGAGGGATATACATCTTAGTTCCTACCAGATGGCCCAACAACAGCGGCAAATTGTCCCTTCTCGATCTAATACAAGTTAGCTTGATTCATTACAAGGTTGTCTGTGTCTTACCGTGAGATCCAGCCCTTTGAGAATGGGCACATCTCTGGTGGGGTACTTGAACCACACGTTTTGGAACTCGACCTTGACTCCTTGGTCGTCGTCGCCGATGTTTCCGAAATCAAGTGAAATTAAACGTCCGTCAGGCTGGTCTGTTTTCCTCATATCTAGAATTCGATTCGCTGCTACAGAGGCTTTGGCAATGTCTAGAATACCTATCAGTAACACACACCCAGGGTTTGAAGTAGATCTCGCTCACTTGGACCGTAACTCAGCCATTGGCCAGCACCCATGCTCCCCTACTGAGGTGTTAGTGGGTCGTAAATATGTGATCTCGGGGTTGACCAACCTGAAGAACAGCAATGTATACGATTACTAGAAAAGATTGTATTAGTTATTACTCATCAATGGCAGCGTCTACTTACCGTATTGGAAAGGCCAGTATTCGCCCCTCGCCATCAAAGTACCACCATACCTGTACAAGCTTATTAGTATAGATGGCCGTGGCTCGGTGGTCAATGACTTACCATAAAACAAACGCCATGCAAAGCAATGCAATACTGTCACTTATTGCGAAAATGAATGTTGATAATGCCGACTGTCGCAGGGTACCCTTCACTTGTGTCTGCAACAATTGCTCATAACGACTACATATTGTGTCTTCGAGCGTTAGAGAAGAAACGGTGCGGAATGCACTAATTGCTTCTGTTGCGAACTTGGCACTTTCTGCAAAGACCTGATTGTTGGTTCTCTCGAACTGTGTTTCGTACCGTACGCGGAAAAATGCAGCGGCGAAAATGATTGGCATCGAGGAAGCCACAGTGACCAACGTCAGCTTCCATCCAAAGTAGAAGGATATCACTAAACACCCAACCACATTCAAAATGGAAATGATTACAAATGCCATATTAGTTCCGAGTAATTGTTGTAGTTGCGTCGGATCAGTAGCCAGCCGTGCTGTCATTGCTCCGACCGAATGATCGGCTTGATCAAAGAAGGCGATAGATTTTGAGAGTACATTGTCGAAATACTCTCTTCGATAGGCATGAGTAATGTGCTTTCATCTCGTTAATTCTTCTTATGCGATCTACACATTGGACTGGGACCTGAAAAAGGGTAAACTTACAAAAGACAGTGTTGTCGCCGACCATCCAAGAGCGAAATGGCTGATTCCCACCGCAATAGCCAGCATCGTAAACATGAAGCACCAGAAATTCGTTAAGAACTCGAGCCACCAGAAGTTTCCCATGTATTGAAAAAGCGAGATAAGCTCGGCAAAAAGATACGCTTGAACAGGCGCGCTAGCTGTAAGTGTTGTGATCAGCACGACTGATCTGAATCTCGGGACATTGAAGACTCACCACCTCCAACCAAAGCTCCAAGCATTAACACAATATACCATATCCAATGCCTCGATTGCTCTTTGATAAAGAGTCCGAAGCTTCCAAAGACACCTCTTTGGTTTGGGTCCGGATCCGGCCCCTGGGTAGCACCTGTGAGGGTGTCACTTGTCGCGCTCTCTTCTGTCAGAATTATGTCTTCGCCTTTCTTTTCCAGCAAATCTGGTTCAAATATGTGCTCATCATCATCACCGTTATTATGATGAATCATAGAAAGCTGTTGAGTTGTCGCAAGTGTCCAATAGACTCCGCCCGAATCGGCCATGAGACTCTCGTGGGTGCCTTGCTGGACAACCTTTCCCTTTCTTAGAACGACTATATTGTCGGCCTTCTTAATGGTAGATAAACGATGTGCTATGGTAATTGTTGTCCGATTCTCGGATACCTTGTCTAAAGCCATTTGGACTTGTTGCTCAGCACGGACATCTATAGCGCTTGTTGCTTCGTCAAGTATGAGTATCCTCGGCTGCTTCACGATACTTCTTGCAATAGCAATTCTCTGCCGCTGTCCTCCGCTGAGCTTAATGCCTGCGTCTCCAACATTGGTATCATATCCCTACAGTCATTAGCGTATGGTCTTAATTTTGGGCCTTGTTTCCGGGACATATCGTACTTCAGGGAGCCGATCAATGAATTCATCAGCGAACGCTTCCTTGCATGCCAGTTTGACCATCTCTAATTTTATTTCAAGAGTTTCGTTCTCCCATTGTGTGCCGATCAGTCCATTCGCAACGTTCCGGAAGATTGTGTCATTGAATAGGTACGGCTCTTGTTGTACAAGCCCTATTTGAGATCTCCACCACTTGATTTCGATCTCCTTTAGTGACCTCTCACCCACTCTAATAGAGCCATTTCGTAACCACAGCGTCTGCCTTCATGTGAGCATTGAACTTGAGCATGATATGCTGTATTTACTTACTCCAAGGTTGTCAGTTTCATTTCCGTCTAGCTCATACCACCGTTCAAGAAGACCCACAATCGTACTTTTGCCCGAGCCCGAAGGCCCAACAATTGCGGTCAATTTACCTGCCGGAAACCGAAGACTCAGATCATCAAGAATTTTGAGGTCTGGTCGCTTGGGATAGGCAAAATTCACATGCTCGAGAACAATATCCTCCGACGCTGATGCCTCAGGCTCTGTGACACCACCAGGCTTGGGCTTACGAGCATCGATAATACTGTAGAATATTGTTGCTGCTCCGGCGGCTCTCGCGGCTCCTGAAAGGGGGTTTGTGATGCCACCAATAGCTGTGGTCATTGACATGACCGATAAGAGGACACTACCGTTGTTAATGAATTACTCGAAAACGAGAACCAAAACCTGTGGCAGGGTATTTACGAACACCATCAGTGTTTCAGGGCTATCGATTTTGAGCGCCATGTACATCCGAAGAGAATACCAGAAGGCAAGCGCGAATGTTCTACACCAGATTAATTATATACACGCCGATTTTGCCACAGAACTCACGCATAAATCGCAAAGAATACTGTTCGACATTAGTTTCCAGCCGAACTTTGGGCAAGAAATTCAATACCTGGAGCTTGTTGGATGGCAACAAGCGGCGACATTTTCAATCCTCGACGACGCGACTCATCAACCCACCCAGCATAGCGCTTTGCCATTTTGCTTTGAGCGCCGCAGGCTGCGACCATACGGATAGAGCTAAGGACTTCATTGGCCACGGTAGATGCTTTAATATCCGCCTGTTGAACCTCGTTCATCAATCTGACTAGGAATGGTGTTGTAACAGCATATACCGCAATTATCAAGACTAACCCACTGCCCGTCACCAGGGTTAAATTCCAGCTATAAGTGAATGAGATAATGAGTGCAGATACTACAAGGGATATTGATTGTAGGAAACTTCCCAGTTTCTCGGAAATGCCCATCTGCAGGATATTAGCGGTGATTGTAATAATTGCTGCTGTTTGACCAGGAGGCAACGCGTCAAGGGTTGAAATGGGCTGCTGGAAGAGAGTTTTCATATACTCCAGTCTCATTGCAGCAGATATTCTAAGACTGCTCATTCTGAATCCGAGCTACACAAGTAATTAGGAATCATTGACTTATTAAAGTTTGGACGAGGCTTACATATGAGACATAGTCAAGGAAAAGTCTTGCGATAAAAAGGTAGATGAGATATTTCCTGTCTCAATCTTAGTCTTTGAGATGGATTAGTATAAGCGCTAATGATTCTTACACGCATTCGATTATGCCGCCCATGAACGAGACCTGAGTCTGTCCTGCATTGTTCGGCTGGTAGTAACCCGTGAACGACGCAAAAACCTTGCCTATGGAAGTTTTAGATTACTGAACTGCAGTATCTACTTCAAGAGACATACCGAAAACAACGTTCATCAGTGGCATTGTCACACCTGCGCAGATGGAGGCTACTGTGGCTGCCAAGATCAAAAGTCTATCCCCAGTTGATGAATATGTGAAAATTCGCTGCAGAAATATTAGCTGTTGTTGCTCATGCACCATGAATTCTTACCCAAAAATGCTTAAAAGCTGTCTTATGTTCAGGTTTCACCGATAATGGCGAAGGTTTACTTGGCTTGACCATTGGCAATGTTGCTGCTGGTGCTACTTGAGGCTGCGGAACCACCTGAGGTTGAACAGGACATGAAACCTTTTCAGGAGCTTTGCTTTCCGAAACAGGTTCCTCTGTGATAAGTGTATCGCATTGAGATGGGAAAGTCGCCATTGAACTCATCTCTGCAAGTCGTTTCTCTTGAAGGGTAGTGCCATCATCGACGTCCGAACCCGTTTCTTTGTCAGGCTCCATGCTGATGACAAGCACAAAGCAACTGCCAAGGTGGCACAACTCTCTCCTTGATGATAACAACAATCTTTGTGGGGGACTGCACCGCTGTGAGACTGGAAGAGGCTTGGGCCGCGCCGGAGCCTTATTCACAGCCGTGAAGCAGCGAGCCAAATGGCCAAGCACGTTTTGCTAATAGCAGTCAAGTCTAGCATGAGATTACCAAGGATTCAAGGACGCGTATACGCCATTGTACCTAAAAAGAAGACATTCTCGCTTAGTTCCTCTACGCTGGCAAGATCTGAGCAATAGTCGCCAACAGCATCTTCACACGCACCCGGAAAGAGACCCGCAATCGAGGAACGACGGCGTTCTAGAATTTCTTGATTTCAATTTTCTTTCGCGGCTGCGAAGAGATTGGGGCACCGCGCGGAAAGACACCCCCGCTCCTAGGCTTTGATTTGCGAGGCAATTATCTTTTTAATTACTATATGTAGCCTTGTCCCACATGAGCTCTTATCAAGCGTATTTAATGTACTTCCTGATTCGGCTGCAAGTATGTGCCTCTGGAACCTTACAACCAGCAAATGATAACGCAATCCCGTCTTCTGTCCTGTTACAATTACGACGCTAGTGACTCGTCATCTACTCGATTGTGTTTGAGTTTTTTTGGGAATCTATGACATGATCAAGACGCTGCGTGATATCGGGTGAAGGAACAATATTCCGGAGGCGCAAGGGGAAGTTGTGATAAGGTACGTGTTGAATAGATAATGCAAGGGACATTGTAATATCGGGAGAGCTTTCTAGGCTGAATTAAGGATTAAGGACCCTAACAGGCCGCCGCTAAGATGTGAACATACAAAGTCAGCAATTATGAGAAGCACCCCTGTTAAATTTCTGGCCTAGGCACGTTATGCATGTTGATATCGTTGCGGCCCAGAAATTGACCCTTTTTGGCGATCTTGGGCATGCAGGGCAGGATTTCAACCAGGAGCGAGTGGGTCATACTAAGTTAACTCAACCACATTTAGCCAAATGGCCGCCACGTCTTAACTACGTTATAACGCCTCATGTCTTATCTACCGTCGTTCTAGCATCATTAGCTTGCGATTTCGGTTACGTTGGTCGTAGATGACTCTTCATGGGTTAGTCGAAAGGTGCACCACACCCGCTCCGGATCATGCATCTTGAAAGCCGTTTCTGCTAATGCCTTCCACCGCATACCTCATGAGAGCCCATGCCGACCCACATGCCCGATAAATCACCTCCATGCACCCTTCGCCGCACGCAATAGCCGGACTCGCATCCGGTTCAGCAAATGTACATGTCCCATATCTCTAGCTCTAGCTCTCATGTAGCAAATCGTGAATTAGCAGAGAGCTTTTCTTAACGATCGAAAGTACCATTAGCATAGAATCATGATCCAATATATTAGACATGACGGATGCTGCCCACCAGTTAACCATCGCGGGCACTATACTTCGAAAGCCCAATCTGGACCTGGTAGTTGCCCAAACGCTGCAACCCGTTTTTGGAGTTACCGATATGCTTGCCGGCCTGGAGAAGCCTATCTAAGGTTTACACGAAACAGGTCCGAAGAGCACATTGAAATCAAGGGCAATGGGCCATTTGCCCGGTTTTCCAGATTGCATCAGAGGCCTAGACTGAGACCATCCAGATCCTACCTCTCACCCTCTTTTGTAGCTTCTTCTTTGCTCTATCGGAATGTGGAGGGCCTTGGCTATGACATCTTTCGATTGGTGTAGTAAGAGACTTGATCGGGCTGATTGATTTCATTCTTAACATATGACGAATGCGAGGTTAAGGCCTAACAATTATGACCTTGGAAAACTAGTCTTGCCAATACTTTGCTGTAGTTGATTTAAAGTGAATGGAGTCAAGTAACTTTCTCAAAAAGGATTGTGGAAGATGCTCTGTTAGTGTATGTATTCTATATTTGAAGTGGCGACGCTTATATTCTGTATAAGCAAATCTGATTCCAGTTCTTTACGCATGAAGGTCTATTTCATACAGATCGATGGCATCTCTGACGACGTTTCCTAGCTCTTTTACAGTATCTTTGTCTCGTGGAAGAGTATGCCCCTTTGCATGATCAAACAGATAAGCCGTATCTGGATCGCATACATTGTACAGCGCCATGGATCCATGAAGATATGGGTCCAATGAACCAACTAGCAGCAACGAATGCATTAGCTTGAGATAAACCTCTTTCTAGAGCCTGACTCACTAATATGGCAAGTTGGAATCATGATCATCTCTTCCGACTCGTCGCTCAGTACCATGGCATGTGAATCTGGATCAAGGGGTGGCCATCCTGCAAAGAAAATAGCATATTTGAACATTGGTTGAATTCCTTTGGTTTTGAGTCTTCGTTGCTCGTGAAGTAGTAGAGTTGCAGCAACAGTAGCTCCCTCAGAATATCCGATAATGCCATCAAATGGCCCTCGTTCTTCCATGATCTTGACCAGATATTTCATTGCATTATCAGTACTCTTGTGTGCTGTAGCAACGCCTTCCTTCATCAGCTCTCGCATAGTATCCTCTGGAGTCTCACATTCAGGAAAGTCGCGAATCCGAGAGAGGACATCGTCGTCTTCGGTCTTCTCGACATCTTCGTCGGGTTCCATGAATCTGTAATAAGGAGGCTTCCCAAAGTAATCTTCGAACCCTTCGGGCGGTACAGCCTTGCATGGGCCATTGATGAAGTGAAATGTTGCAGTACCATCTTCAGTGAGCTCCTTGATGATGGGGGCTTCACATTCGCTTAAGTCAGTCACGTCTGGTACTAAGGGTTTGATGGTCATAATACCTAATTGGACTTGGAATTTCTAATTGAGAGAGAGTCATTAGCTACAGAATGTGCAGAATAGCAGCTTGAGCCAAAGACTGTTGTTAGAAACCTACGTCTGAGCTTCCATAAGCTCCAGGAAGACACAAGAACCGCATTTCGCCGATACCTCTTGGCAGTGCTAGATGCCGCCGTAGCCGGGTTCCAGGAACCAGGACAGAGATTGACAATGATATGAGTGGCTGATTGCAGATGATGTAGACTCTCTGCTGATCTTCTGCATCTGTAAATTTGAAGTTTCTCGTTTTTAGTCTTCTCGCTTGGACTTGGAGTCACAGGCTTCTTATCAGAGGCTTGCAATTGGTGGCAATTGAAGTTATTCTAGCTCTGCGATGTCGTGATGTGGGATGTCGATGAGGTTGAATGAACACGATAAGCTAAGATGACCAACAAGCTTTAAACTACTGTACACCGGGACCCCCGCATACTACCGGACCAGGTAGAGAGATCTGGTTCCTTGGCAACTGATGTGGGCGATGCAGGTCCTCTGTAAGCGCGGACGGAATTACAGGGGTTTCTGAACTTGTTCATTCGAGATCTTGTAGCTAAACCAGCTAACGTAGCAGGCGTCTGGTCGTCGGATCGACTTTCTGGCGCATCGAGACCTACACAATGATGATCGGCTCAGAAAAATGAAAGAAGAATATCGGTGAAGGTGACGTTACGGACCGAACTCATGCTAAGCAATGAGATTCAGGATAGTGTAGGGGCATTTAGTTTGCCAGCAGGACGATACTCCAACGCCGTTGAGATGTTAGTTTTGGATAAATTGGTTATCAATTATCTTACATAGTCAGCTTGCCCAGCATTTACAAGCTCTCATCATTACTCTGCCATCCACCCCTTGCCGCAAGTGGTATTAGCAATTGGAGACGGGTACCTTTCACAGCCCGTAGACTAGGTAGGCCCATTTGTCCGGTGAACAGCCGCTACGGGCCGCGGTACTGTTGTCGCAGGTCTTCCACAGTGTATAACCACGAGAACGCTGAATGAAACTCTTCTTCCTCACCTCGGGAAAAGGTTCTGCCCATATTCATGCCTTTCATCTGACTTGACTAACTGAAATCATTCTTTGGATATCACAATGTTGACCCCTATATGTCGTAAGGTCAAGATGTTCATCATCCATATAAGATGAGTATATAGCAAACATGACAGCGGGGGCTCATCAACTTCGACCAAACGCTGGCAGTCTGCAGCCATGCCAATGCTACCCTTCTGAAGGAACGTAGGATGTAAAGTCCCGGAGCTAACCTCGAAATGTCTTGGTTCCGCTTAGCCAGGGGAATATGCCCTGATGCAGGTCTCCATGCTCAAGTACCGATATCATGCGGCAAAGCTGTAATTAACCGCTATCGATAAGAGCTACACGACACATGCTTCCCCACGCACACAGCTCCGGCCTAGTCGCCCTGCTTCGTGATCAAAGAGATTAAGATGCTATCTCCTGCGGCGGATAAGCTGCTTTGTACCTGCTGCAAGCGATCATGTCTGGTCCTCAATCCCGTTATCTCAGAGAAACCAGGATCCTGAAGGTAGGTTCTCCGCATCGCCCCACCAGGACCCTGGGGATAGGGATCAACCCGAGGTGAGGGTCTGTACATTTGTTGCACGGGTATAGCACGCAGACGGTCGGAGGCGATTATCATCCATACTGGGCTCTTGCTAATCTCTTGATCATTCGCCGGGAAATATGGAAGATTCCCGGAGCTTCCGATCTGGCCCCTTCCAGCTGACGACGCTCTTCGATTGATGTATCAATGCCACTCAAAGTGCTTGCATATTGAGGCGCGACATGGTCGCCGGAACCTGCCTTTTATCCCGCGAGCTTCAATATCGCAAGAGCGCCAACATGTGACGATACCCCGGCGACCACCATACAATGCTACAATCCTAGGTAAGGTGACGGAAGGTGGCTGGAAAATGCAGCGGACGATCTCTAGGACGATCTAGCAAGGCCTCGGCATATAAGCTAGGAACCAAAGCCGCATACAGGTCCCTAGGAAGGCTCTACGAAAGCCCTTTTGCTTGATCTAGTGTCCGATGCCGTCTTGTTTTCTCACAATAGATTTGCCAAGTCATTGAATTATAGCTGAGAGGTTCTGCCGAAACTGCAAAACGACCCTTGGCCATGGCGCCCATCGCCATAACCCCCGATTCCTCCACTGCCAGTCCGGTAGCTGAAGAGGGGAATGGCTATTTCAATCACAATCTTCCCAATGGTTCAAATAGCCACAGAAATGGGGCTACCAACGGCCACACAAATGGTCTTACGAATGGCTCCAACGGGCATGCCAACGGCTTCAATGACGTTAATGGTATCAATGGACATTCTCACCATGTTCCAAATAGCGACTCCTTCCAGTCAAAGCCGATGCCAGTGGCTATTATTGGCATGGCTTGTCGTATGCCCGGCAATGTTGCCAGTCCTGCAGAATTTTGGGAACTTCTTTCTAGGGCTCGAACTGGCTTCACCGAGATACCGAAAAAGCGGTTCAACGCGGAGAGTTTCTATCATCCAAATCCAGGAAAAGGGGGCACCTTCAACCCCGTTGGTGGCAATTTCTTGGATGTTGATCTCGCAGCATTCGATGCACCGTTCTTCGGTCTGACCGAAAAGGAAGCAATTTCAATGGATCCGCAACAGCGGTTGCTACTGGAGTGCACGTTCGAGGCACTTGAAAGTGCAGGCGTTCCCAAGCACACCATCGTGGGCAAAGACGTTGGTGTATTTGTTGGGGGCTCATTTCCAGAATACGAATCTCATCTATTCAGGGATAGTGACACTATCCCGATGCATCAAGCAACTGGTAAGTAAGAGCACGAATCTGTCCTGAACCGGATACTAATGTACCTTAGGTTGTGCTTATGCAATGCAATCCAACAGAATCTCACACTTCTTCGATCTGCGAGGTCCAAGCTTCACATCTGACACGGCATGCTCATCTAGCATGGTTGCTTTGCACCTGGCATGCCAGAGCCTCCGTCTTGGGGAGTCAAGTGTGGCGATAGCAGGTGGATGTCACCTGAACATGCTTCCAGAATTCTGGATATCGTTTTCTACTTGCCGGTATAGTTAACTTCAACACCTTGTTTTCTTGTTTTAGACTGACTTCTTCCATAGTCTACTCTCGGACTCTGGACGCTCAATTGCATTTGATAGCAGAGGCACAGGGTTTGGACGAGGCGAAGGCTGCGGCATGCTTATCCTGAAACCACTCGCGCAAGCAATAAAGGATAATGATCCGATTCGCGCAGTCATTGTTGGGACCGGAATCAATCAGGATGGTAAAACTCCAGGAATAACTATGCCCAGTGGCGAGGCTCAAGGTACGTACAACACCGAATCCAGACTCATACATCACCTTCGCTAAGCCTTATTGTAGAAGCTTTGATGCGCCAAGTCTATAAGAATTCCGCACTTGATCCCAAGGACTGTGGCTTCATAGAGGCACATGGAACTGGCACGAAAGTTGGTGACCCTATTGAAGCAACCGCTCTGCATAACGTTCTGGGGCAAGGACGGACCTTGCGGGACCCTCTCTATATTGGTTCGGTGAAGTCAAATATTGGACATCTGGAAGGCGCTTCTGGTACGTTCAGTACTTTACATTACTGCTTGTTTCAATCAATTTTGAGATGCTCATTCATGACACAGGCATCGCCGGCGTGATCAAGGCAGCCTTGATGCTTGAGCGTGGTTTCATCCTGCCGAACTATGACTTCAAAAGCCCCAACCCGAAAATACCGTGGAAAGAATGGAACATGAAGGTGAGTTTACAATAATCGAAATTGATGCCAGCTACTACTGACTGATGACTGTGCTCAGATTCCAACCATGCAACGGCCCTGGCCGAAAGGCAAGAAATACATAAGCGTCAATAATTTCGGCTTTGGAGGTACCAATGGTCATATAGTCTTAGAGGCAGCACCATTTCGACAAAAGATGACCATAGAGAAGGACTTCGATCTCGAAAAAGAGAAGTCTCGAAAGCTTTTCGTCTTTACAGCGAACGACAAGACAGCCCTGTCTGCCTTGATGAAGAATACCGTCGTTTATCTGGAGCAAAGACCTGAAATCTTTCAAGCAGATTTGATGGAAAATGTAGCCTATACGCTAGGTCAGCGACGGTCACTCCTCCAGTGGCGAGCCACCGTTCCCGCCCAGGACTCATTTGAACTCATTGAAGCTTTGTCAGGAGAGAAGTGCACGGTAGGTAAAGAGATTGAGCCTCTAAGGATTGGTTTCATTTTCACTGGCCAGGGCGCTCAATGGCACGCCATGGGACGTGAGCTCTATGACCATTATCCGGTTTTTGCTAGCAGCATCGACTTGGCAGATAGATGCCTAGCCTCCCTCGGCGCGGAGTGGTCTCTAGTTGGTACGTTTAATCCAAAATCTGCATATAAAGCATAACACAACTAATCTCATCTATGATAGATGAGCTTAACAGAGATGCCAAGACCTCTCGAGTCGGCGAGGCTCATCTCAGCCAGCCTTCATGCACAGCGATCCAACTAGCGTTGACTGACCTATTACAAACATGGGGAGTACATCCCACTGCAGTAGCGGGTCACTCGAGTGGGGAGATAGGGGCTGCTTATGCCGCAGGTATCATCACATTTGAGGCTGCCATCGCCATCGCATACCACAGAGGAAGGCTTATTCCCATCCTCAAACAGAGATACCCTGAGCTTCAGGGTCGCATGATGGCTGTTGGTGGAAGTAAAGAAGAGATCAGCCCTCTCATTGATTCGCTGAAGGAAAAGGAAGTGCGAATTGCTTGCTTCAACAGTCCGTCTAGTCTAACCATCTCCGGAGATGAGCCTGCTCTAGCCGAGCTTGAAAAGATTATCGAAGAGAAACAAATGTTCAATCGGCGACTGCTTGTCGAGACAGCTTATCACTCCCATCATATGAATTTGGTCGCGAAGGATTACCGCGCATCTTTGCTTAAACTTGGGGCACCTGTCAAAACAGACGTCATGTTTCATTCGTCGCTCTATGGACGTCTGGCCGAGGGCGCTGAACTGCAAGCACAGTACTGGGTTGATAACCTGACTTGTCCAGTGAGATTCTCAGAAGCGGTGCAGAGCATGCTTGAGCCTGATGGAGAGCATAAGACTGGGGTGAACATGCTTGTGGAATTGGGCCCACACTCTGCTCTCCAGGGACCTATCAAGCAGATACTCAAGGCCGTAGGTGGCGCCGCTGCTAAAGTACCGTACGGTTCTGCTCTCATCAGAAAGAAGGATGCCGTCGAGTCCGCCCAAGAGCTTGCTTCGACGCTATTCACGAAAGGCGCCACTCTCGACTTTGCAGCCATCAATTTCCCGAAACCGGGCAAACACCCTGCGCTGTTGACAGATTTGCCACGATACCCCTGGAACTACCAGAACAAATACTGGCAAGAGTCTCGCATGACTGACAAGCATAAAAATCGCAAGTCGCCACGCAGTGATATTCTCGGAACTGAGGCCATCTACTCACATGACTTGGAGCCAACATGGAGAAATATCGTCAGGCTTGATGACTTGCCATGGCTCCGTCATCACAAGATACAAGGGCTCAACGTTTTCCCAATGGCAGCATTCATTGTCATGGCTCTTGAGGCTGCCGCTCAACGGGCTGCCTCTAAAGAAGTCCACGTTCAAAAATTTGAAGTCAAAGACTTGACTGTGATTAAACCTCTCATCATTCCGGACGAGGATGTTGAGATGACCATCACCATTCGACCACATCAAGAAGGTACTCTTGTATCTTCCGATATTTGGGACGAGTTCAGAATATCCTCGTGGTCTGTAAACAAAGGCTGGACTGAGCACTGCATTGGTCTCGTTGCTGCAGAAACTCATGATGCCAACGCGGTGGATAGCACAAGACAAAAAGAAGCGTCCGAGGCGCTTCTGCAATCTACTGCCCAAGTTATACAAGATGCAGGAGCCGCTCCCATCTCCCCTGTTGCGCTGTATGACAGGCTATCAGAGGTTGGGGTCGCATATGGACCTACCTTCCAAGGTATTGAGGAATGCCGTTCGTGCACCAACTACTCTATGGGAAAGGTCGTCGTCAAGGATATTGCAAAGGAAATGCCAAACAATTATCTAGCAACTCCTCTAGTTCATCCGGCATTTCTGGAATCGCTTATCGAGATGTATTGGCCAATGCTTGGAGCAGGAAAAGCCGACATCGATACAGTTTACTTGCCATCATCAGTTCGGCGGATTTCTATCACGACGGAAGTACTTGATACGGTGAAAGAGCCAGGCACCACACTGAGTGTCTACTGCAAAGGAGAATTGCCGCTGCAAACTCCAAAGCCAGCCAAAGTCACGATCTTTGCTACTACGAGCTCGGATTCTCTGGAGCCTCTGATTACTTTTGAAGATTTGACTGTATCTCCAATCATCGAAGGCGAGACGGAACTGGATGTGAACGCACCAAGAGAATTGTGCTTTAAAATGGAATGGGAACCAATCCTTCAAAGCCTAGAAGACACAACAAGTGTCCCCGCTAGCTTCCCGGATACCCAGGTTGCGATAGTTCATGAAGAATCAAACTTTCAGAATCTCGTGGCCATGGGCTTAGCTACTGAGCTCGAACAAGCAACAGGCAAGCAGCCAGAGTTTGGGAGCCTGGAGAGCATTGATGCGGCTGGAAAGATCCTGGTCTTCTTGTCTGAATTACACAAACCAATTCTGGCCGACTTGTCTGAGAACCAATTTCTTGCACTTCAAAAACTTCTCGCAGGTGTTGAGGGAGTCCTCTGGGTTGTAAGGGGAGCATATGATAGATCAGTAAGCCCAGAAGCGAATATGGTCTCAGGTCTCAGTAGGGCCATTCGCTCTGAAACCGCAATGAAGTTTGCCACGCTGGACTTGGACGCAGCAACCCAGCTGTCAGAAGCAGAAACTACCAGGGCCATTTTGGACGTCTTCCGAGCCGCATTTGGATCTAAGTCGTCAAACACTAGCGAGCTCGAATTCATGGAACGAGGAGGGGCTTTTTACACCCCACGAATTGTCAATGATGACGAGATGAATGCGTACGTTCACAAGCAGACGAACCCATCTGTTCTTGAGCCTACACCATTTGGTGCAGATGATCGCAAACTGAAGCTCACCATCACCACTCCCGGTGCACTTGAAACGCTGCATTTCCTTGATGACCCTAGTGTCGAAGAGCCTTTGCATTCCGACCAGGTCGAAATCGAAGTCAAGGCTGCTGGAATGAACTACCGAGATGTCATGACCGTCAAGGGACAGGTTGTCGGTGAGCTTGGAGTGGAAGCAAGCGGTGTTGTCACTAGAACCGGAAGCACTGCCACTGGTGTGCATGTCGGTGATCGAGTCTCATGTCTCACGGAGGGCTCTTATGCTACTCGTACTCGTGCAAACGCTGGACTCGTCTTCAAGATCCCGGATGACCTGTCTTTCGAAGCCGCAGCTACAATTCCTCTAGCCTATTCCACAGCATATCATAGTTTAGTCGAGCTTGGAAGACTGACAGAAGGTGAAAGCGTGCTCATCCATGCCGCAGCTGGAGCGGTAGGACAAGCTGCAATCTCCATCTCTCAGATGATTGGTGCGGAGATCTTTGCAACCGTGGGTAGTGCAGAAAAGAAGGAGCTTCTGATGAGGGAGTACAATATTCCAGAGGACCAAATCTTCTACAGCCGCGACACATCCTTTGGCAATGGTATTCGACAAATCACGGATTACAAAGGCGTGGACGTCATTCTCAATTCACTTACGGGTGATTCTCTTCGGGAATCATGGAGTTGTCTGAATAAATTCGGCCGATTTATAGACATTGGCAGACGAGACCTCTCTCACAAGACCCGGATTGAGATGTCACATGCCGATAACAACGCCAGTTTCATATCAGTCGATATATTTGGATTGCTTGCAGAGCGTCCTAAACAAGTTAAGAGATTGATGGCTGATGTGGCAAAACTGGTCAAGTACGGCAAGGTCCGACCCGTTGCACCAATAACGACATTTCCCATCTCAGACATCGAATCAGCCTTCAAGGCTTTACAGAACGCAAGAACTGAGGGCAAGTTAGTGATAGTCCCGGGCGCAGATGATATTGTTCTGGTAAATTGACATTTCCGTAAATCCTTGGGAAAGCTGTTGTCTAATTTTCGTTGCAGGCACCACCCTCCAAGAAGCTCAATGATCTCTTGAAGCCTGATGCAACATATATTCTGATCGGAGGAACTGGCGGGCTCGGTCGTAGTATGGCTCGCTGGATGGTTAGCAAGGGAGCGAAGCACATTGTTCTCGTTTCTCGGACCGGATCTGCTACTGGCAAGGTCAAGGAACTCATTGATGATATGAGCGCCATAGGCGCGAGCATCATCGTAAAACGATGCAATGTTGTGAATACGACCGAGGTCAATGATCTCGTTGCCAATGGTCTTCATGGGCTTCCACCTGTCCGTGGTGTTGTACATGGAACCATGGTCCTGCATGTGAGTTTCTGCCAACAATATTGACGCAAAGCATTATCGCTGACATTATACAGGATGTGCTTTACGAGAAGATGACCTTCGACGATTACGTGACGGTACTTGAGGGCAAAGTGCAAGGTGGATGGAACTTCCATCACGCTCTGGCATCAGCACCTCTTGACTTCTTCGTCGCTATCTCATCCGCCGCTGGAGCCGTGGGCAACCGTGGGCAGGCAGCATATGCCGCTGCTAACTGTTTCCTTAATGCCCTGGTTCAACACAGATTAGCACAGGGTGTCCCTGCTTCTTCCTTAGACTTGACTATGGTCTCCGACTCTGGATATCTAGCCGACAACGCTGAAAAGCTTGCAGAGGTTAGCCGGAACTTGGGCAGTGATAGCATCTGCGAATCCGAGGTTCTTGCACTGCTCGGGGCAGCAATCAGCGGAAAACTCGCCACTACTTGCAATAACCATACAATTACTGGCATGCGGATCACTCCGAGTATGCAACCCTTCTGGACCACTGATGCTAAGTTCAAGCATCTGCGGTTAGCTATGGAGGCTGCGGCTGCAGCGGATGCAAGCGCAAATGCTGGTGCCATCTCGTTCAATGCGGCTCTCAAGGCTGCTAAATCGCCAGCAGAGGCCGAGGAAGTTGTCTGTAATGGCCTAGTTGGCAAAATCTCATCAGTGTTGATGCTCGATATTGAGGACATGGACGTCACCCGATCTTTGTCACACTACCCTCTCGACTCGCTGGTGGCCATTGAGATTCGCAACTTCATCACTCGAGAATTCGAGGCTAACATGCAAGTCCTCGAGCTCTTGTCCAGTGGCTCTATCCAGACTCTATCAAGGGCAGTCTGTGGAAAGAGCAAATTGGTAGCATTTACCTGAGTGTCCCAGTGCTATCATTTGAATTTGTATGATATTGAAGACCGATATGCATTGTTCTCTTTGGCTCGAGCATCTTTCATTGTTAGTAGTTACTTTCGTTGATTGCCTCCCGGGAGCCGAGTCCCCGTTGGCCATTTTGTTACATCATACTTTCGGAAGCGGCAAGCCAAGCTATGTCTTCTTTCATCTTCTCATTCGATTCGACTATAACTAGATTTATTGAAGGCATTATGGGATTGAAACAATAGTACAGCACAGTACAGTAGAAAGAATTATAGAGATTTTTCACTTGACATGAAGCATCTTTTCTGATATTGATGTCAAACCATGTTGGATTGTGAGGTGAGTTTGAGTGGGTCAAAGACAGCACAATGGTTGTTCTTTCGATGTCTCATTTGGTAGACAACACCATATCGAGAGAGTGGTATAAGCATTGAGAATTTCTAGCCAAGGTGCCTTGTTATTCAGGAAAAATTTCGTTCACGATTCCTCCCTTAATATGAATTTGGTCCAGTTGGTGAGCATTAGGGATATCACCTGACCCATCTACTCATCCTGGATTGGCTTAGCTTGTATGGTGGGGCACTGGGCCTTTCTTTACCCGTACCTAAACCACGATTGTAAATCTGGATCAAAAACTTATCGCCATTAGATATCGCATCACCAAGCGCCGGCAAATGGGTTTCTCACCTTTGTCAACGCCGCGAATCTAACAAATACATAGCGATCCTTGAAGACATTCGAGGACAACCAGAGATGTCGTACGACTCGCGATATCCGCCCCCACCGGGCACCTATCCGCCCCCGCCAGGACGGCAAAGCTGGCGCGATGAGCGCTCATCATTACCCACAAGGCCTCCCTCTCCTCACGGCGGTGATTCGTACCGACCCTATTCCAACTCGAACTACGAATCGTATGCGCCGCGCGACCGCGATAATCGCTACTCTGATACTTATAGTAACTCGCGCTACCCGCCGCCGCCGCCGCCACAAGACTTCCGCCGCGACAGCTTCCGTCCGCCGCAAGGTGATTTCACCTTTCGCGTAGACAAGCCGGTCGGTGTCGATGAGTCCTCTTACGATAGCTACCGCCCCGGGAATAGACAAGAATCTCGAGGCGATGCTAGTCGTCGCGAGCCTAGGAATCCGCGCTCATTTCGCGGTCGAGACCATCGTCGACGTGGCGACGCACGACCGTACCAAAGATTCCAGAAAATCATTCCAGCAGATCGCCCGATTCTGCATGCTAATCACGGGGATAAACCTGCCGAATCATTCGTCAATGAAGCCGATGGAATCGTATACAAAGCATTTGGGGATTTGTCGGACAGTGATGAGGCGGAGATGGAGATTTCTGATGCCTCTGATGATGGGTCCGTTGCGCCTGCCCAGAAACGAGCTCGTGTGACTCTGAATCAGTCAGCCTCAGACGACAACACCCCGAAGTGGTCAAATCCTGACCCTTACACTGCCCTTCCACCCTCCGATGAGTCCCGCCAAAAGAAGAAGGACGTGGTACACCTGATTCGTAAAGCTCGAGTCCAGCCAACGAAAGAATCTAAGGTATCTGTTCCTGCTGAGGCCGAGGATTTCATCCGGTGTGACCTTGACAGTGATGAATCTGAGGGTGAGAAAAATGTGCTAGGCCAAGGCGTCCCGGGGGCGCCTACAGGTCCCCGCGGCGCGTCCTCGACGCGCACCTCTCACATCAACGGCGCCAACAGCACTGTGGGACAAAGCTCTGCGTACTCCACAAACAAAAATTCGTCTCATCTTCCAGGTGAGGCGACAATTCCTCAGGCTCCAGGCGGCAAGGGTAGCACAAGTAATGGAAATTTACCTCCCCTCAACCCCACGACGAAGCGTGGAGCTGTGGTCGACCTCACAAGCTCGTCAGATTTAGGGACTCGCAAGCGCACCCACGACGACGAACTGAAATTGCCAGCTCATTCGAAACTCAAGAAGCCCGTCATGGCACCTGTTAATGGCAGTATCGTTCGGGACTGGGTTCCCGTGAAGGGAGAGGATCCCAGTCCTTGGCTAATGGCTGGGTTAGCTTGTACTTCTGAGACTAGCGTTCGGTATGGACCCTTTGCCTTCTCATCTTGCACGATTACTGACCGTGATTAGGTTTCATATGGAGGTTCTTGATTTCTATGATTATGTCAAGCCACGCTTGTTCGAGGATCGTGTACGTAGAGAGCTTGTCCGCGATATCGACCGTACAATCCGACAGCGATATCACGATGCACGAATCGATGCCTTCGGCTCCTTCATGTCCGGTCTCTACCTTCCCACAGGAGACATGGACCTTGTATTCTGCTCTGAGCGGTTCCTTAAAAACGGCATGGCTGTGTACAACACGAAGAGACACCTCTGGCAGCTCAGGAGATTCCTGGAAACCAAACGAGTTGCTTCGGAGAACAACTTTGAAGTCATCTCCAAAGCGAAGGTCCCCCTCGTGAAATACATTGACAAGCTCACCGGATTGAAGGTCGACATGTCTTTCGAGAACATTACTGGTGTCAACGCCATCGAAACCTTCAAGGCATGGAAGGAGCAGTACCCTGCTATGCCAATCTTGGTCACAGTGATCAAGCACTTCCTCTTGATGCGTGGCCTAAACGAACCAGTCAATGGTGGTATCGGCGGATTTTCGGTGATTTGCCTAGTCACGAGCATGCTTCAGTTGATGCCCCAGGTCCAGAGCGGTGACCTCATTCCCGAACATCATCTTGGGATGTTACTCATGGAATTCTTCGATCTGTACGGCAATAGATTCAACTTTAAGACAGTTGCGATCAGCCTGAACCCACCCAGATACATTCCGAAGGTTTGCTCCCCATCATGCTATTACTTCCGAAGTCATGCTAACCTTGAGTAGTCCCAAGTTACCGGGTTCGCCTACAAGAACCCTGGTCGTCTGTCCATCATCGACCCTAACAATCCCGAGAACGATATCTCAGGCGGCTCGAGCAACACGGAGAAAGTCATGTATTACTTCTCCGTTGCGTACAAAGAATTGCAAGAACGGATGATCAAGGCGCCGTCAGCTGTAGGCGAGAGCATCCTTGAGGTGATCATGGGCGGCAACTATTCAAGTTTCAGACACCAGCGAGATCATTTGCGCAAGGTCCATGAGAGGCTATATGGGCCCTGCGAAGACTGATGCTGTAGGCAATCCAGATTGCTTTTCGACAGAGGCATCACATGACAACGGCTGACTATTTCTACACTTCCACATGATGGTACGGTTCTCGGATGGTTACGCTCTTGTTGCGAGGAAAGGAGAGGAAAATATCGGTATGAGGTTTCGGAATGACCAGACGGCAGAAATCGCGGCGTTGACGGATATTGAGGTCATCATTCTTCTACTACGATACCCAGACAGTTTTCTTCCTGAAATTGTCTTTTGCTTTTTCTTATTGCATTGCTTACCCCCACGGCCTGTTTTGCAGCATGCACTTACTGTAGCACAGCTTTGTATCATAGAAGGGGCGATGCTGGTCCACACTGGAGCCATCGAGTATCGTCGGCACGCATTGCGGCCGGAGTCTTTCGACTTTTGCTCGATTTGACGGCTTAAGGCGACATCATGACAGGCCCCCAGGGGTCTCAAACGGCTCATAATGAACACATATCTGATTTCCCATTCGTTTTTTGTCTTCCTTTCCATGTAGTACTTTACTGACTCCTTCGCGGGCTCTGGCATACTAGCTGGACAGTACTACTAATTCGTCATAGGTACTGCTCAATGGGAGAGAACTCAGGCCGCCGCGAAAGCTACGAACCTGAGTCCTTTGGACACCTGTTTCAGGTTGTTGGCCAGCGTGCTACAACAGCACACCACTTGAACAATCATCAAACAGGCACGCATTCAGTTCTCTGATCTGCAACAACGGCGGCGACTTTGTCACTGCCACTTTTTCTCACTGTATGCGATGCTTGACGCGTGGCTACGGAGAGGAGAACGGCCTAGGAGGGGTGGTTCAGGAGTCAAGCGCTTTATAGATTTGCCTAGATTTAGTTCATGATATGGTCTGGCGAGACTTGGATACACCGCGTTTCCGCGCTAATCACCATTTCATGTCCACTGCTCGCTTCTTCGTCTTACACGCCGACTTGTAATCCGTGTCCAGCACCGCGACACTCAGCTCTGGCAAACTGAACGTGAACGCGCCGTCGTCGCCTGCCGTCAAGAAGTACGTGGTGCTCGTGACGATGTTGACGCCCGTGTGCGGGTCATTGTACGCATACGGATCACCATTGCCGACTAGCACGCGCAGAGCGGCCTTCGTGCCGGCGGCGACGCCGTCAAAGGTCACGGACACAGGCACGTCGGCGTGGTTTGTCGTGTTGTATACGGCACCCTTCCAGATATACGACTCCTTGTCCTCGTTCTTGCCCGAGACGTAATACAGGGGGCCGAAGTCGCCGGTCTCCGGCAGCGTGTGCGTCATCGGATGCGCGGCGAGGAGTTCCCAGACGTACCACGAGGTCGAGCGCGTGGTCATTGCCGGGTCGGCTGCGTGCTGGAGGATCGTGACGGCCCATTGCCAACGGTTCATGTTTCGCATCACAGGCGCATACATTGCGCCGGGAACGCGGTCAGCGTTTCGCTCGTAGCCGATGAGAGAGACGGCCTCGCCGACGCTGCCAATCCACCAGGGGAATGTCATCAACGGGCCAGCCCAGTCGGTGCCGCCATTTGGATGTGTCGCCGATACCTCACCCACGATGTGGCCGACGTCATTGTCAAAACGATTGAACTCCTCCACGAGCTGGTTGGGTTGACGGTACGGATGGTAGTCGCCAATCGCGCCGGGAGGGATCGTGTAGTTGTCTGTTGAGGCGCCAGATCCAATCACTTGGATGTCAGGGTACGCTTCATTGACAGCCTTCATGAACAATGGCAAGCGATATTCCTGATACGTAGCCCAACCCTCCGCGCCGCCCTCAAGCCAGTCCTCGTTTCCGATCTCAACATACTCTAACTTGAAAGGCTCGGGATGTCCCAGCGAGGCGCGTACCGAGCCCCATTTTGAGTCAGCAGGCCCTCGGACAAATTCGATCTCATCCAATGCATCGTCGATGAAAGGCTGCAGCTCATCCTCGGGCGTGATGTCTCCGTTGAGAGACAGACCGTCCCATACAGCCAGAACCATCTCCATACCCATGTCCTCTGCCCAGTACAGGTATTCCAAGAGGCCGAGCCCATTGGTCTGCTGATATCCCCAGACACCTTCAAAGCCAGGACGGTCCTTGAGCGGCCCAATTGAGTTCTTCCAGTCCCACCGGGTCTTGTTGGTATCACCTTCAAGCATGTTACCGCCTGGGAAGCGGAAGAATGTCGAGTGCATTTGCTCCAAAGCCTCGGCTAGGTCAATTCGCAGCCCGTTGGCGCGGCCTTTGTAAGTTGGTGGGAAAAGGCTGATCAGGTTGAAATCCAGAGATCCACTGGCAGCTCCCTATTCACGAAGCTATAAGCACGAGACACAGAGACGACCGAACTTTAGAGACCTACCTTTGAATCAAATGTGATAGCGAAGGTATTATTGCTGTTGGGGGCATCCTTGTCGGGGATGAGCTCAACCTCATGTTCCACCCACTCGTCCGCAACAGCTTTCGAGGTTATTTCAGCTTTTCCAAAGACATCGTCAGTCAGGTTGGACTTTAGCCATGCAGTGAAGACGCCGTCGTATGAGCCTTTGACCCAGAACGAGCCGGTGTACTTCTGCTTCTTGACATCCATGCCCCAATAGCCGTCATTTTCAAAGCCAATCTCCCCCGTAGCGTCCCCTGCCGCAACGTTCATCGACGTAGGCAGAGCGGCAGAGAGGGGAGTGCTGAGATTCTTCAGGGACAGCACTGCTCCGTTGATGGGATGCCAGGCATCCAATGACACGGGATACCGTGGACTGAACTGGAAAGCACGATTTCGGATGAGCTCGGCATAAATGCCACCGTCACCGGAGTTGTTAATGTCCTGTTAGGAGTCAGCGACCAAATAATTGACATGCATTTACGACAAAGGGGGCGTCATGGCAAGCTTACCTCATGTAAGAACCCATACTGGTGTCCACTTGTGGCATTGCCTCCGGTTGCACTCACGGTGATGTCGACGGCAGTGACAGACGCAACGGACAATGCCGCAAGCAAAAAAGCCTTGGATGACACCATGCTGAGTACGCAGTCTCTGTCCCAGCGTTCCGCTGCAGAGGAGGCCGTTCCATTGCTGTGAGAGGGTGACAGGACATCATCTTATATGATCCGAGGTTCTCGACCGGGTTGGTGGGAGAGTTACATCGAACTGTCGAGGGTCTCTATGGCCACTGACAGAGTCGTATTGGAAGAAACAGTTTGATTCCCCGCTTCGGGTCAAGAGGTTGTATGGCATGGCTCGTGGAGAAGGAGACAGGCACGGCTCTCCAATCCTCCCGCCACTTTCCCCGTACTTTTATTCCCCGCACTCTGAGCAGGACCCCAATGCAAGCTCCGCACCAGGAACAGACGGGAAAATAGAGGCATCGTAGCTGTCGCTTGTCGATGAGGTACAGCCGAGCGAATCAGCGTTCGTCACGCAGCTTCGCAGTTCTCAGGCCAGGCTTGAACAAACTCATTTCAGTCGGTGTCGTAGAAGACGTATCATCAAGATGAGTTCGCCCGTGGCTCTTGATGGTGTTTTTGGGCTCTGAGTAGATCAATTGCCCCTGAGAAACGTCGGGACGAGATCAGCAATTGGAGACTCCGGAATATGGCCATCTTCCTCCCATTAGGAGTCCGTCTTTGAGTTTCGTAATGGAGAAAGGCGTGGTAGCTCAGCACAGCTCTCGGTCAACGTTCCTCCGTCCTCAATCGCAATTTCGAGGAGGGTAATTTACCAAAAGAGCAGTGTCTAGAGGCAGCGATTGGAACTAGCCAGAGTCGATGCGGCATGACGACATGTTCCTTGCTCTTGTTGGGGTCAAGGTCAGAGCAAAACCGTTGCGCTAAGAGCTGTGAAGCTGGAGTTCCGGATCTAGTATTCCTATTCGACCGCCTAACGGACACGTATCGGCTCAATTACCACACTACGGGACGGCACTCATGTCCTTGCCGACGCTAAGCAAATTCCCCGTCTTGTGCCTGGGACTGGGCATACACCTACATACACATAAGGCCTGAAAGATGGGCGGTGCGTCCATCTCCAATAAAGGCGATCATAGTTCGGGAGATTATTAGCCCTTGATAGAATGTAGACACTTGCCTTACGCCGCAAATGCCTGGGTGGCAGCTCAAAGCAAGAGCAGTGTGGTTCTTGCGGCTCTATGACAATCCGGCACTGCTGCTCTACCTGTGACAAACAGGGACGATATGGCTTCAGTTGCTCTAAGCGGTCCAATACCGGTTGACTCCGTGTTCCTCAACTCCAAGATCTATTATCACAGATCCTTGACCATCCAGATACTGCCCTCCTTCTGGCCCCCGTAGATCTTGAATCCCACCTTCTCATAGAACGGCACCACCTTGTCATTGTCCCCCGCAACACCGATCTGGATCCCCTCGCCTGCATCCCCCTTCCCCGCCGCCACCGCCTCCCTCACGCTCTGCACAAACGCCTCAATCAGCCGCCGCCCCCAGCCCTGGCCCTGGAACGGCGCCAGCAGGTCAATGTGCATCGTCGCCCTGTACCGCCGCACCAGCTCCGCCCGGCCCTCCGAGCCCTCGAGGAGCAGCCAGCGCGGGCTGTACGCGAGCTGCGCGAGCGCCGCCTCGTTCACCACCCCGAGCGGCTGCCCGGGCTTCGGGTCGGCTACCTCCGAGCCCGGCACGAACCACGGCTCCGGCGTGGTGAGCTGCTTGGGGACGGGGACATCCTTCTCGCCTGCTCCGCGGCTCAGGACCGTCTCGATGTACTGCGGGTAGGCTTCTGCAAAGGCGTAGACGTCCGGGCAGCCGATGACGTACCTTGATGGTCGGCCAGTCAGCGGCGACACACCTTGCAAGGGGACACATGAGCCTTGGGGAATCATGCTGGACCCAAACTCACCCCACGGCCGTCCCCGTACCGTCATCGAGGACGAAGCAGTTATCTGGAGAAAGCGTGGTGAACTGCAGGGTCCAGATGTACGGCGCTATCCGCCATGCCGGCTCCGAGGCTTCGAGAGTCGGCGGTAGGGTAGAGCGGCACTGCGACCAGAAGTCAGGGCTGTTCCAATTCCATGATCCTCCTCTTTGCACGACCATTGAGGTACACGACAGTAGGTATGGGCAAGCCACTCACGATGTGTGCCATCTGCTCCGTGTCAGATACCCTAAAGGGGCGGATGTGAGCCATTCTCCGGCTGATGCTCCCCGCTATTTAAAGGCTACCTCAGTGCATGCAAACCAGGACGAGTTTCATGAATCCGTGTCGTTCATATCACGGTCCAATTCACCAAGGTATAGTTGAAGTTCACTTCTATTAGACCTCTTGACAGATTCATTGTGAGTATGAACCCCTCAATGATGCCGCTTTTACTGGCAAAACATCGGCAAAATGGCTCCTGGCTGGCGGGCCGGCCCTCCCGCATCACGACTGTCGAGCTTGTAAGCTTCGGATCATTTTGATCCACCCCTCTTATTATTGAACCTACGTCGTATACTTCGAAAGACATTTACGATCACTTTATTCTTTCATTGGTACCATACGGACACAGCTGCAGGGGCGATTGGTTGGGAATTTGTTCTTTATATTCCGATTTCACAGCTATTCTTCTGATTATTTGTGCCTTGCAGCATACATACATAGCCTGGATGTCATCCTCTCTCCAAAGCCAGCAGTTGTCGTCTGATTTTGACGGGGCTTCCCTCCCCGGGAAGCTCGTCATACTGGCCATCATCGCATCTAAGGATATGATCCGCGTTCTTTGCTTGGACAAGTTGCCCCTTATAAACTCCTCCATGAATCAGAAGCCAGTCCAATTCCGTAAGCCCCCCATTTAGGATGCGAACCCAGATAACCGCAATTAAATGAATAAATAGAAACAGAAAAAGGCCATTGATTGTGTCGAAGCGCAGAATGACAAGAAAAACAGCCAGAGGCCCAAATGTACACCTAGTGTAATATACAAGGAGGTATCTCAATTTCGTAGGCTCATGTACCAAGGAGCAAACGTACTCCGATTCACCTTCTTCAGGGAAAGAAAAACCTTCGTCGCAAGGATAGATCAAACCCAGTGGGTGTGCGTGTAAATTGGGTATTAGAAAAATTTGGTAAGATGTGTTCCATGAAGGAGGGTATCGTGTTGTGCAGGATACATGACGACACGACAGGCCAGTGTCAGATCATGCCACCGGGCAAGCCCATTCCTGATGGGCTTGGGCCTTTCATGTTTGAGGTGATAACCGACCGGCTTGCGGGCGGTCCTGCGGCGACATAGGGACCATTGTTTGTCTGCACAGCGAAGCTCGCTCGTGCTGAGTTGGCTTCGAGCTTTGCCTTCCATTGTCTCCGTCGCTCCAATCTGCCGTCCTCATCATCACTAGCTGGGAAAACAGCATGATGGTCGGTCGACGTGTTACCTAGCGGTAGGTGCGGTGTGCTAACGCTAGACATGGGCTCATCTGATCCGTCTCCCTTGCGGTTGACAAGTCCTCCGAAGACGCCTCTTGTCCGAGATCCCTCGCCCCTTCGGCGGGGGTTGATTGGGGGAAGGGGAGGAGCTGTGTGGGCGGCGTTGCTTCCGGCTCTTGACCGTGATCCGCTTCTTGAGCGTGTTTCGTTGACTTCGGGAGTAGAATTAGATTGTGGGAGGCTGACCGTGGGCACTCGACTGGTTGACATGATGAAAGTCGGTTCTGAGATGTCGTTCTTCTTGACAACCTTCTTGAGCGACTCATTCAGGGTGCTAGTTGTCGTACTAAACCCTGGCGTGGATGGTGCTGATGGGCGTCTCGGTGATGGGACCGGGGCAGTTGGGGTGGTTACACTTGAACCATTGGCACTGTATGGGGAATGAGGGAGACCTATTGAGCTCCCAAGGGGAGATATTGGCGAAGGTTGACCTGCGGATATGGAGTCATATCCGGCACGGGTAGGCTGAAGACTCAAGTTCCCTGCTGAAACGGATCGATCAAAATATTGAGGAGAAGGTGCACCAGAGTGCGCGCCGTTAAGCGCATGGCCCTGAGGTGGCATGATGGGCGAACGGCGGATGTCAGTGCCGGGAAGGCCCGGTGATCTAAGCATAGGTTGTCGAGAGGGTGGATTCAACTTCGATTGACCAAGTTGATCCTCATAAGGGACAGAGTTGTTTCCAATTCTTGGAGGCCGGCTGCGGGAACGATTTTCACCGTAGCTGGTATCGGAACCACTTCTATCGCGTTCTGTCCTCGACTCAGATCGAGACTGTGAGCTTGCACTATGTTGAGATCCCTCACTAGGGGCTCGTTGCTGATAGTACACTGGCGGGGGTTTGCGTTCCCTGCTAGGGGTCCGTTGTCGTCCCGTGCCTGTTGCACGCGGTGGTGAAGTTCGCGATTGAGAGGTAGGATCCTCGACACTCTGCCCAGGCTGAACTTGGTGCTTAGCGAGCGTTTCGAGCTCCTTTCGTCTCTGTAATTCACGCCTCGCTTGCCGGAATGCACGGAGACCAGGATGTACATTCTCGTCGTCCTTGGATTTGGTCGATCTCGCATCGGCATCGTGGTCCTCGTCGGTATCAAGCTCCTTCTCCTTTACGTCTTCCCTAGACGTCATGCGTGGCATGATCTCCTTCTCGTCAAATGTCTGCTTGCTAGGGCTGGGAGAAGTGCTCATGGTCGACGCGCCAATCCCAAGCATCTTCATTGCCTTCGCCTGAGAATCATCCCGGGTGCGGGTACGCTCGACCAATGACCCTCGACTAGACTTTGCACGAAGTATTCCAAGTGGATTAGACCGCGATGGAGGAGGTGGCAGGTCCGATGTAGGTGCCGGTGTTAGACCAGGCGAACCAGAGCGGCTGCTGTCAGACTCGACATACGATGTGAGCTTTTCTCTAACACGACGGCGGGCGTTCGCGAGCTGGTTAGCAAATTCGTCCTCCTGTTCCCCATCTAGTTCATCGACTTTCTGCTCTGACATATCTTGATCAGACAGAGGCTCCTCGCGCAACAAGGATAGTATGTGATGCTTTCTATCTTCACTTTCGTTTGGCAAGTCCCAGTCATTGTCTTGCCAAGGATTCGACCTCGCCCCCAGATCGTTCATGAGACTAGAATTCCGCGGGTCAATGGGGAAACTAGAGTCCGCACCGGCTGTCTGAGGTGGTCGGTCATAAACGGATGACGCGTTGCTCTCTGAGCGGAGATGTTGTCGCACCATGCCGCTGAGCCCTGCACCGGTCGTTGGCCCCAAAGTTGGCGAATCTCCCGGGATTTCTTGACGAGGCGGACGCATGGTTGCCTCGGGATGTTCCAAAATGGGTGATGGCTCTTCACTTGGTTGAGAATTCATAGACAATGGGGTAGGCATAGCAGCTTGTCGAAATGCGGGATGGTCACGGTCTGATGGCCGCTGAATAGCCATCTGCGGCGGGACAGGTGGCTTGGGGTGTTCCTTGAGGGTCGGTGAGTCCTCTGAATCGTCTAGAAAAGACATGCCATGTGAATCATCCTGTGCTGGAGCACCAGTCTTGATAGTCAAGTCAGCCGCCTTTCCATCGATGTGCCGACGCTGAACGGAGGAGGAAGACCGTGAGCGGTCGGTTGCAAATGAAGCATTAGATTCTGCACGGAATCTCTGTGTGGGCGTTTCCCGGCCTTGTTGTAGTTGCAGTTGCCTCTGAGCATACTTGGATTCATCATAAGAATGCAGAGGTTTTTGAAACACTCCCATAGCTGTGGCCTTGCCACGATCGTTCGGTTGGATTGGCAGGAGCGGGTGCTCACCGGTCTCGCTTATCGGTGGGCTCAAAGGAGGTGATCCGCCAAAGCTATTCTTCGTCTCACTGGCAGGCACTTTGATACCTAGATCTATGGTCCCCATGGATGAACCTGTCGTAGGTGGACTCATCGATCGCAAATTAGGGGCACTTCCCTTTGTCAAGATCGGCCTTCGCTCGCCTCCGAACCGTTCACCGAATCCCAACGTTGTAGGAGAAGGCGAGTTTTGGGTAAGATCAGGTGTTCTTGTGCCCAGGGTTCTTTGGCGGGAAAGCGTGTCGATACGTGACAAAGCGGAAGATTGCTGATCGTGGAGGTCCTGTGTTAGGCCTTGTTCATAGAGCCGACGTGTACGGGTTACACTACGCTCCGGCAGAGGAGTCGAAGTACTCGATGCGGTTGCTGATGACTGAAACTGCCAATCTTTCGTAGGAGCTGTGGGTTGCGATGTCACCGAAGTTGCTGCAGTGGAGTTTCGTGCTAGAGATGGGGTTGATGAGGTCGTAGAGGAGGTTTCCCGCTTCCGATTATAGCCAAGCGGTAGTGGAGACTCGGATCGTGTTGTCGGTAGACTCTCGTAGGTTTGCGTGTCGTTAGCGTACCTGTCGTCTTCGTCGAAGGAACTCCTTTCTTTTTCAGCTTGACGCCATTTTTGGAAAGCAGAAAGAGCAACGTCATCCTCATAGAGTGCTCGGCCGCCCATACCAGCGACCCCTCTTCCGGTTGAGCCTCCTACGGGAATTTTGTAGATTTTTTGCCTTCCACCAAACAAGTTGTTGCCTTCTATAGGCTTTGAGCGATTCATCACGCTGCCTTGGGCGATATCATCAGATGCAAATGAGTCCACTCGCGCAAAAGGAGCGCCTCTGATCGACTCCACCTCCGCAATGTCGGCGAGCCCACCACCATAGCCGAAATCCATCAACCGAGATTGGCGCTTAGGAAACAAGACGCTATCATCGCTTGCCTTGCCAATCTTTGTGTTTGGATCATCTTGCTCTCGAAGCATAGAAAATCTAGCCGAAAGGCCGGTCATCAGTAGACTTGTGCGGAAATCATCACTAGATGGAAGTGCTGATGTGAGATCGATCTCCTTCTTTTGCTCTTCTTCTTGCGATTTCTTGCCTCTCCGAAAGAAGGACAAGGACGACTGCTCCGACTCGAGAGAAGGTCGGGAGGGGATGGAGTCATCCTTGGCCTTCTTCTTGGTCCTAAAACGGTTCATCGTGACTGTTGTACGCAAGTTATTGTAACAGAGGAAAATCCGCGGAATTACAAATGATGCCGCTTTGGGTCCAAAGACCACGAGATATGTTGTCAAGTTGCGATTATACTGCTAGTTCCCATGAAAGCGGTCGATGTTGGGGCTTTATTGCAAGAGGACAAGACGGTGTGACTTCGGAGTGGAAGCACCAGGATTCAAGGAGGCTACCCGACAATCTCCTTCGTCAAGTCGCACTACAGAAGAACTCGAAGGGTCAGCAACCTATGGCTTTCATTCATTTCTGTACATCGAGTAATGAGTGGGGGGGCATCAAGAGCTCTCCGCACAACCAGGTATGCGTGGGGGGATCCGCATTGGCTAAGTGCGATGCCAATAATGCTACAATATAGAGGTTGGAAAGATAAACAGACGCGGGGGCTAATGAGAAAGCATGAAGTGATAGACTTAAACAGGCAATAAACTCACCTGTTATCGTTAATGTTGCCGGTGTCGAAAGCGTTTCAAAGGTTGAGATAACCCGGTCTGTCGAAAAGAACGAGATTAAGTTGGGTAGCGGACGGAAAACGGCGATCAAGCACGTCTCGACTTCAGACGGGACGGAAGTGTGGAGCATTCACTCTACAGAGGACAAATACCGAGGTTGTGCTCTCGAAATCGGCGAAAGATGGCAAGAAATGATCGTCTTGAATGTCTTTGGCGTTGGCCGGAACGTCGAGTTCAAAAGGGGCTACCAATTGGTGGTCGGATTGGCGGCCAAGAACAATATATGAGATTGCCCTGTTGCACGAGGCTTATTGATCTCCTGCACAATAGGCTGACCACAGGACTAGGCAATTGAAGCCTGTTGTGCGAAGGTACGCAAGATCGCAGCCAGGTCGTTGAGGCAGTGCGATCGAGGGACGCGACTCTGTCCGTCGTCCGGTGGTGTTGAGTCGATAGCACAAGAAGTGCTCGTAGTGTTTTGTGAGGGAAGTCGAGAAGTCCCCAGATATTCCCGATTCGGTTTCTGTCCTGTACGGCAAGTTTCTTCTCGGAGGACCCGCGTCTCGTCTTGTCTCGCGGGATCGAGTGTGGTTTCAAAGAGGGAGGAGGCGAGCGACAAATGGCTTCGAGTTGCTGTCGCGCGTGCACGAGAGATTGACTCAGGTTATCCAGGGCGTGCGTGCGTGTACTTTGGATGATCTAAATAGCCGCGTGTATGCGTAGATCCGGTGAAGGTCTCTTGTATGTCCTACGACAGTAAGTACCTAGACTGCAGGGACCGGTCGACATGCGCCGTGGGCGTAGAGTAGATGCAGGCGAGCGAGACACGCAGCTGCACAAACGAGCGGAAAGGGTGAGTGAGGGTGAAGTTGTGGCGTCCGAAGCCAAGGGATGGAGGGATGGCAGGACGGAAGGCGCGAGTGAGTGGATTTAGTGAGTGAGTTGACTGGCAGGTACGGACGGACGGGTACCTCGTGGCGGGCGGGAAGGAGGGAGGGAAGGGACACCCAAGGCGAGGAAGGCGAGACCTGGAGAAACAAGGAAGGAAGGATCGAAGATGGAAAGGCAAACGGAAAGTCCAAGACAAGACAAAGTCAAGAACGATCAAAGACCCAGAATCTCTCAACCTGAACCGAGAATCCACCGTAGTGCAGAGAGGAAAAAATAATCGTAAATTACCCGTCCACCAAGGAAGGACTAAGAGAGTGTCAGATGGGGATGGGATAGGTGGGTGGATTGCTACGCAGTAGTTGGGGGGAGAGACCGGGCAGGGCAGAATGTGGAAAGAAGGGAGGGAGGTAACTGGGAGACTGGCGAGACCGGGTCCCGCCCGCTCAATGAGCGAGTGAGTGGAGAGTGCCAGTGAAGGGCCCTGTCCAATTACCCTACACTACTGCAAAAGAGCAAGGACAATGGAGTGGGAGTGATGGGACGGCGACAGGGACGAGCCTTCCACAATGGATTGGCAGCAAGAACCGGGCAGGGTTGCTCCTTCCTGCCCATTGAAAGAAAAAAACACGCCCTGCCCTATCCAACAATCGCGAACCTGCCTGACAGAAAGTCTACTGGCCTTGTACCATACCGCCGTTGTGCACTACGAGATAGTGCAGGCGGTAGCAACCTTGGAACCCGAACCAATGCAAGGTACGTCGCGCTAAAGCCACACCACCTGCACCTTCCTGGCCCGGGGCGTAACCGGTGGGGGCATGTGGGGAGGGTCATGGGTCTCTTGAGAAAGCCCGCTGTTAGAGCTAAAGGAGAGCCCCATGAGATCGAGGAGCGCACAGTACGAAAGAGTCGCCTACTAACTCAACTCATGTGCACGTCTTCGCAGATATCCAAAGATTTTTCATTGCCCATCTCTATGTGATGTTTACGCTGTCGAGGCTGTGTCTTTTTTTTATCAGTGATCTGCGAAACACCCCATCGCTAAGCGTAAGATGGAGGTGCAGCGCTGCAGCGGAAACCTGCATATTGGAAACGAACGATCCTCCCGTCTCCAAATTTCCAACTGCGGTCGCCGAGCGAGCTGACAGCGGCGATCCCTTACGCCGTGATGCATCAACGTTATTCCCTCAGAAATCCAGGTGCAACAGTACGACGAAGTCTGATGCAAGCCAGATCATCAGACACTTTCATAGCATACGACGGCTAATTCGGTCCTAAGAATTCATATCAAAAGGCGTGCAGTGCACCTACGACTTCTTAGCACTTCAATATCTACACAGCGGCAAAAAGAAGCTTGATACACTGTTCAGGATGATCAATTGGGTTCTCTCTCCCAACCGCATGTGCAAGTCCTGAGATAAGTCAGGGGCTCGGTATGGCTCGGAAGAATGCGTCTGGACCATTAGAAACCCAGAGCTCGTTCTTCTCCTTGATGGTTGGCCATGGCCAGGGCGCGTCTCCAAACTTTTCGAGGCCATCCCACGAATTCCCTCTGAGTCTCTTCCATCATAGACTCGAAAGATGGCCAGATGAAAGGGGTTGCTGGCTCAATTGGACTAGATTTCAACATGAAGGTCGGTGTCCGTGTCACCTGCGGACCAACTTTAGCGGCCCTTAGACAAACGGGCCGTGCCTTCTGATTAGACTTCCCACCTGGCAAATGAGGTTGATAAATTGCTGCAATCATTTACAGCAATTGCTTTTGATATGCAGACGCTCGTACAAGCAAGCCTAACGGGACCCTGGAGCAAGGGATATCTGCTGTGGCTCCGAATCCACCTTCTCTCGCCATAACCAAAGGTTGATCACTTTCCTTCTTGTGCTGGGTTGGTTTGCCCTCGTGCCACCGACTCAAAGTGCTACACTTCAGGAAATGTTGATTGGTAGCCATCTAAGACACCCCACAAGCATTTTCATTCGAACGTTGGTCTTGCATATAATCAGATGCAGAGCCCATCTTATCGAAAAGCATGCAGCATCGCGATGCATCATGATGGGGCCTTCAGCTTCAGCGGTGCCAAGCAGCAGGCAAATTTTTCATGTTCCAGTGGAGTTGAGCCTGTGGGCTCTTCCGAAATGTCAGCCCATTGGACCAAAGATCTGAACGTTCGGACGATTCATGTTGAGACAACATTTTCCTTCTCGATAATCCTCATGTGCTCGAGCTATGCCGAGGGGATGTCGTTCACCTACATTCTACGACGAAAGTAGTGTTCTCACACCATGAGCTAGAAATTTGCCTCGGGGCGATGATTTGCTCCAGAGCACGGAGCGCGCTGAAGTTGACAGCCGGAGAACGCCTCGAGCCGCAAGACTAGTGTACATTACTACATCTTCGGCTCCTCAGCGCTCTAATTCGCAGTAGCAGCTGCCCATGATACAGTATGTTCAGCAAATGGTGACACTGGGCAGTCAGCTCCGATGTCCCCAGAGTGATCCTGGTCATCTTCTAGACGCACACCACTTCAGGGGATGGCCGTGCGCAACCACACTCACGGGTCGGAGGATCATTCCCCGACCTATCACACTGCTGTTCCTGACGCTTGATCTCGCTGGTGGTCAGTGCCACCCCTTTTGGACGCGCTGCACGCCATCCCGAACCCGGTCAAGCTCCAGGAACAAGAGCGTTCCAACCTTGTATCTGGCCCCTCCCCCCTGATTTTTAATGCAAAGACGCAACCCCTGGCCCCTTTTTCACAAGGGCGGCCATGCAAAGTCTGCATGATGGCTATCTCGTTACGCACCTCTAGTGTAACGACGGTACGTACTCCTGTAATAAATTGTGCGGTATTGCATGCGCCGGCACTCGAGACACAAACGGGCGTGCAGCCACCTGAATCTCTGAAGAACGGGCAGCCAGAGAGAAACGTGGACTGCGTGTGATGAGAAACTCAGGAGGCGTCCATACAAGGAGCGGCACCGGAGAAACAGCACAACCTGCGACAAGCGACTATAGCAAAAAGCAATTATGTTTTCAGGTCCCCTTGCAAACCGGTGCAGAGGTATCACAACTCAAATGCCAAAAAAGCTTATGGTTAACTTGATGAGGGCAAGTTCATCGACATTCCCAGGACCCCAGCACACCCGTCAAAAACGAGGCGGACTGGCGGGAGTAGCCCAACCAAGATTGCTCCCGCGGCCCCGGAACCGACGCTGACGGTGGAGCCGGATCACCATTGCTGGGAGGGGCGTTGATGAGGAGACAGAATACTCCCAAGACCTGGATGAGTTGGATCGGGATATCTAATATTCATTGAAGATAAAGGAGTATTTGTGGTGCTACCAATCTCAACTTGGCACCAACACCAAGAAGTGCCGTAATAGAGGTGACACCAGCCGGTAACTGCGTGATCGGGCGCTCGCTGTGAAAAGCAACGACAAAATGAAACCAGGAGTTGCTGCATAATAGGAACATTATGGGGGGCTCCTGCGCAATACTCTACTACACTTCATCTGGCGGGGTAAGAGGCGCACGCCGGCGAGACATTTGGCGCAGCCAGACACCTCTGAACGGCGTGGCATCGCCCGTGATGGATGGCGCGGGGCCTTCAAACAAGCGGTGTCTTTGT